GCCGTCCACAACGTGGCACTACGCTGGCCGGAGGATACCCCATTTCGACGCATGTCTCTCCAAAACAATGCCGACACTCGCACCATTTATCGCGCATTGAAGGACAAATCCTGCCGGTGGGAAAGACTGACTGACGATGGGGTGGAGAAAGAGTTAAAGCGGTTGAAGAAACTCCAGAAGAAAGGCAATCTGCCTGTTCCAAAGGCCCGCAAGACCCGTGCCGACAAGGGAGTCGCTCGTAATCGGACTTCGACAAAGAAGCGCAAAGATGTGGGTGGCTACAACGACGACGAGGACGACGAGATGGAGCAAGACTCAGACGACCACTCAAGCGCTGAGCGTGAAGGGAGCGAGGGCGAAGGGAGCGAGCCGGAGGGTAGCAATGAATCACGGCAGTCGACTACTGAGCAGAGACGCAAGATGTTGACTGCCCTTTCGCGGGCAGCGGCGGCGCGTTCGGCAGCAAAAGCAACCCCGCAACATCAGAAGAAATCATCTCGACGCAAGCAACAACAAACGGACAAGCAGGCTGCACAACCTGCCGCCAAGAAGCGTAAACGGGTAACAGGGGATGATGATGAACACCGAGGCCGTAAGAAGATGCGCGTCGACCACGACAAGGAGAATGAGCCCCACCGCGATGATGGGGGCAAGGCTTTGAAGCGTCTACAGCATCAAATGCAGCAAGGGAGCTCAGGGGCTGGTTCACCATCCCGTCCACGTCCGCGTCCGCGTCCAGCATTTGGGAAATCAAAGGTGGATGATGCTGTCGCCAAGGGATTTGTCAAGGGCAAGAAGGGCCAGGGACCCCCTGGCCATCGTGATTAGCATCAGTCGGACTTAGACTTTTCTCTCCATTTCACTATTCTGCTACAAGTCTTTCACATACAGTATAGTTTGGCCTCATTAATTCTCTTTTCATACTAATAGTTAGTTTTGGACAATCTCTATGCACTATTGCTTAACAATACCTTTTTTGGCGGTTGTGATCTGAGCTGATCTGAGAGTATTCTGTTATGAGTTGTCTTCTTGTATATGGGTCCGAGTAAAATTTCCTTTTTTGGCAAGTCTGATCGGACTCTGATCTGTGATGGCATCTTGATCTGAGTATATGCTGTTATGAGTTGGCTTCTTCTGGTATATGGGTCCGAGTAAAATTTCCTTTTTTGGCAAGTCTGATCGGGTGATGGCACCTAGTCCCAATAGAGCAGCAAATATAACTTGGTCAAAAATTTGTCTAACATATTGCAACTTTACTGCAGTTTTATTGTACCCTTTACTGCAGCATAGGGACTTGGAGATCATCACTTCAAATTAGAATGGACGCCCAGGTGGGTTGTCCATTCTAATTTGAAGGGATAATTGGGATTAACAGGTGCCTGAGAGATGTTATGCCTCCCATGATGTTTTATCCGTGAAATCTCTTGTTATTCTCCATTCTACATATTACTGCTATATCACAAGATATTAACAATATAGCCATGATCTGCTAGTTGATTGTGGATCAAAATAAGCCAAGTTCAGTCAATGAGGTATATACACATACCCACCTACTCTGATTGATGATTGTACATACCTGGATGGTGAAATCAGGCAGAAATTCAACTGCAGGTTAGATGCAAAACTAGTTTACATGAATAGTGGGGTCTATAGACTGAGTATTGGACATTGAGATGCATGTATTGGGGTATTGGGATATCTACTAGGACCCTGTACTGAAATTGGTTGGGGTTATGGCATGTGTTACAGAAGGTAGCTAAAGAGAGGGTAGGTACCTATAGAGCAGAAGAGAGTGTTTTCGCTATTACAACTGGTCAGAAAATAATTTCAAGTATGATCCAAGACTTGATTATAGGATGGTATACACCTTCCCATGGACCTGTCCAGCACTTGAATCAACCTCATAGCTATGATGGATCTCTCACAGTAGCATTATCAGTGTTATCTATTCCAAAAATGATGGGTTCACCATGGTATGGCCTGTGGAAGTCTGAGAGATTGCAGTATATTCAATGGTAGGGGTATGATCCACCTCCCATAAAGTGGTGCCCCTGCTTCTCTGGCACATATAGGGTATATTTGTTAGCGCATGGAGGTGCGCATGTGACGAGCAAGCACGCATGGCGGTTATGAACATATGACTATGGCGGTCAAAGTGGGAAAGTATTAAATTTCCATACACTTTGTAAAAATTTCACTTTTCCGCAACTTTTTGAGCAAAAAACCATTTTCCGCAACTTTATTTTCTTAACTTGACAAATAGTTGCGGATCACAGCCATTCCCAAAATCCGCGAAACATTTTCAAAGAACATTTTTTCCCGCAACATTTTTCTTCCGCAACATTGATCAATCTACAACATTATCTTGAATACCAGCCATTCCGACTAAGTATCTGCTTCAAGTCCCCACCACCTTGCCCAGCGTCGTCGATGTCCTCCCGATTTGGCGCTGGTCCAGGGCCCGGACATACGGGAACTGCCTCCGCCGCTGGAGGGTTCACCATCGAGTCGTCGCCCCGTGGGCCGCCCGGCCCCCACCGACCCCGGTATCGGATTCGGTGTTCGCGACGGCCCGGGAGCCCGCGCGGCCGCAGTGCAAGTCAGCAGGGACATGGGAGCACTGGCGAGTATTGCGACCGTGGTCCGGTGGGGCCACTGCCACTGGGCCAGCCGAGGCCGCCGAGTCGGAAGGCAGGACCGAGGCCAGAACAACGACGTGTTCGCAGTGGCCACACTCCTCTCTCTCTCTCTCCTGCATTCGTCTTTGAGAGGGCAAGCGGTCCTCTCGTCTTTGAAGCAGAAGAGAGCCGCTGGCGGAGGACGAGGCTGTTGCTTCCTGGTTACACGCTCCTGAGTATCCCAGCTCCGAGTCCAGAACGGCAAGGCGGCCTTTTTGTCATCTGAGATGGCGCTGGAGGGGAACGGGGGGGTCATAGATGGGCACTCGGAGCAACGCCGTGGCCAGTGAGCTTGCCGCGCGAGGTTGGCTGAGTTGGAACAAAACCACCGCTTATTGCCAGCGGGTCGCAGCTGACCAGACAGCACCACCCGAGTCACTGGCGGAGTTCCGGAGGAAAATGTTGTGCCGTGGTAAAGTCGCAAAAAGTGTTACAAGAAATAAATGTTGCGGAAAATATGTACTTTTGAAAATGTTTCGCGGATTTTGGGAATGGGTGTGATCCGCAACTTTCTGACAATTTTGGGAAATACTGTACCAATTTATTCAATTCGGCGTCGAAAAACCGCGTGACATCGGCGCCGAAATTAAAATTTCGGCACTGCCTGGGAATCTGTGTGACCGCCGAAAAAATTGAATAATAAGCTGTGACATGCTGAAATATTTCGGCGCCGGAGGTCCGGTGTGACGCGTGACCGCCGAAGTGAATAAATTGGTACAGTAAAGCTGCGGAAAACAGCTTTTTGTTCAAAATGTTGCGGAAAACTGAAATTTTCACAAAGTGTGTGTAAAATTAATACTTCCCCACTTTGACCGCCATATATGACAGATGTACTATGGACTGTATATAAGGACCAGGGACCTGGTGGAGAACGGATTCTCCACCAGTTGTACCCCTTCTACGGCGTCCTGCGTGATAGCTTGTAGGTTCTTGGCATCGGATCTTTAACAATATTGAGTTCACTTTCAGCAACTTTTATTTTCCAGTGCCAGTGGTCAAATTTTGGAAAATACTTAGACCTGTTTTGTCATTTACCTATTTCTTAGAAACAGGAACGGCACAGCACCAAGTCTATTACTACTCCAAGGGAAGTCCGACTTCCTCGAAGATGTTAACTTCAATTTCTCAGTTGTTTAAAGTGCTCTCTCTCTCCACTCCTCGGACGGACCACAATATGGAAGTGGAACATAATCTACTACAAGTATGTTGCTAGTCGCGGGTGCAGGTCGCCTAACGGCTGGTAGGGTTCAAAGTATCTTAACCACCAGTGCCTCTCAATGAACTGTAGCATGGGGGCCACGGGCACATCACCGGTACTAACGCGGAGAACCCGCAGGTTCCGCAGTATCAGATGGGCAAGAACGACTTCCCAGCGCTGCGCGGAGAACAGCGCGATGTGTCGTAGAGGGAGCATCTGGATGTCCTCCGGATTGAGCACGAGGATGCTGAGGCGAGATTCGGGCAGCAGGTGGAGTGTAAATGAGCAGAGATTCGTCAGCGGCGACACGCTGAAGATGAGGCCCGTGTGGAGCCGGGTTTGTATTTGCGGTGGTGGGTTGAGAGAGAGTTTCTCTCCGCGTGTCCAGGGCCAACACGGGGTGTACCGGTATCGATGGAGGCGCCAGCGGACAATGTCGTTCGGCATGCATGTGTGAACCGCATTCTGAGCGACGACGACGACTGGCCCGTCCATCCGTCGTGTCAGGGCCGCCAGCAGCACGTAGAGCGCACGTGAGATCAGGGGCATTTCCAAGGAGATGCGCTGCCCTCTCCCCAGCATATCGTGTGGAAATGTGACACTCAGCTCCTCCAGAGCAGGCGCGCGCGACACTGCACCGTGGAGCGCCCCGAGGTGGTCTAGCATATCCGACTCATCCCACCAGCCAAACTTGAAGTCGCAGTGGATCTTCCGTGCAGGAAATGTCTCGGAAGACACGTATCGCGACATGGCGAGCACAGTTGAGGAGTACAAGGACACCGTTTCCTCGAAAAAGACCCGTGGTTGGCATTGTTCGCGGACGAGGAATAGTCGGATGCATATCTCGTTGAATGTGCGGCACGCAATGGCAGGCTGCAGCAGGTCCTCTGGAGAAAGCAAGTCCTCGTTGAAGACCAGCTCCCAGAGCTCCAGGGGCAGTATGTCGAGGGCACCACGAGGCTCGCGTCGCCTAGCCATGACGGTTCAGGACAAGATGCGATATGATGTGACAGGTGATCGATTAAATCATGTCAACTTGAGCCAGACTCTAGTTGGTTAGCGTTATTTGTATCTGTGTATGAATCGTGCACAGCAGTAAGTATGCTGTGATTCTTCGATCAAAATCACTCCTCAGCCCAGAATCCCGTCCTCTCCATCCTGAACCCACGCGTCGCATCCCAGCCGAGGGCGAAGTATGGCGCCGTAAGTTGTACCTCGACGACATCAGGACAACGGGCTAGGATTTGCGATTGAATGACGCGTGGGGCGGGGATGTCAAAGTTGATTGTGGCGGGCTCGTCGGAGTCATCGCACTGGATGCACAGCTTACGCAGCGTCCGGGGAAGGCGCGGCGACAGTGTGGCGAAGAACCGGAGAACCTAGAGCGCCGATGTCAGCAAGAATAAGCAGGAAGATGGCAGCATAAACCCACCTCTTCTACGACTGGGTCGTCGATCATAAAGAAGGTAAGCTCCAAGTCTAGTGTTTCTAGCGATGGAAAATAAGGGAAGATGGCCGCAAGATCTTGAATTGGGGGCTCGACAATGCAGACTTCGAACCGTGTTACCGTTTGGGGGAAGTGGACGTTCAACCTTTGGAGTGCCTGGCGTAGGTCGAAGATATCGCAGGAATTGAGCTTCAGCTCACGCAACATTGTTCCTCCGATAAACAGCGGGAGCGCAGTGGACGGACCATAGTATGTTTTGAGGTGTGGAAACACGGGATGGATGTCCACTTCATAGTCACCAGGGTGGCTATCTCCCTCTTGGATCTCCAGCGTGGTAACGCCGGGGAACATTGCACGGAAGATGTGGAGGCCTCGGGAGATATTGATCCAGTAAATGAATATTGACAAGCTCCAGACGTTGGGGAACGTAGTGGACGGTTCAAGCCCGAGGGAGGAATGGGGGAAGTCGCGCATGCTGAACGCCTCAAATTCCAGGAGCTGCTTGGCGTCAAGTAATGCCAGCCATAGATCGACATCGTGTCCCCTCGAGAGGTCGAGGCGAGTGACAGAGAGCCTGGGGAGTGTGGACGCAATGCTACTGGTAACACCTAGAGAGCACTCCCATAGCTCTAGATCCAAAGGGTTCGCCATCCGGGCCAGCGCCATAAGCGCCGGAACCGTGAAAATGATCTTGTCTGCGCGAACGAACTTGACCAAGGTAAATTTGTGCAGATGGGCAAAGAAAAGGTCGCGGAGCGCGTGCGTGGTGATCGATGTATCGAATTCTCCGCCAAGCACTGCGAGTCGGGTGTAGTTCGTGCGCATTTCGGACATGCTCAAATGGAGCAATTGCACCAATGGCGCGATCGCAGGTCCAGAGAAGAAGGCCAGTTTCTTGGTCATACCAAGTACGGCGTCGTCGGCAGGGAGCGTCAGAGTGTTGTCCTTTAGCGTGTACGGCCAGAAGTGGAAGTCGGAGAACAGGAAGGTGCGTGCCAGCTGGCACAGGTTGCGGGATGCGAGGGCGGCAGAATGGAGTTCTGAGGTCCTGACATGCCTCAGAACAATGAGGAAGAGCTCATTGGGCAGCATTGCGCCTTCGGGTGCGGGAAGATCCACGTCGGTGGTGGCGAGAGCCAAAAGGCAATGGTTACATAACGGCATCATGTGCTGCTCGGAAGCTGAGCCGAGCACGTGGGAATGAAGGCGTCAGCATGCTGATGTGACTGATTCGTATCTTTTCTTCCGGTCTCTCATGAAGGCAGCGAGCTCTTTTCAAGCAAGCTGGTAATCGCCGACCAAGTCGTGCAATGTATCAACTTCTTAGTAAGTGAAGCGCAGTTGTCACCCTGGCTTGCTTACAGAGCAGTCCTGGCACGGTGGTAGAGACTTCGCATATGGGCGTGGCCAAACGGCGTGGGCCTGCGCCAACGGGCGTGCACGCCCGTGATGGCGTGGGCGTGGCGTGGGCGGGCGTGGGACCCTCGGCGGAGCCTATCGCCCGTCCTATGGCAGCGACCGCAACGTCTCAATGACGGTTACGTGGCGGTCACTTGTCCGCGACACCATGTCGACTCCGATTGGCACACATCAAAACGTGCTTGAAACGTGCTGATCGTCGTCAACCGCGGTGCCAAGCTATCTTGGCGAAACTCACCTTCTCCTAGCAGGGCCGCCCAGGCGCGGGTGTCCACTGACACTGTGCTCCTGGGACATTGAAAAGCTCATTTTGCGCACCGGGCGAGCGTTAATAATGGGCACGCGTGCTCAGTATTGCCCGCTCTAACTCGGAGTCGCCGGGCCCTGGCTCCGGCACGGTCCGGCCGGCCGGCCTATGTTGGTGCCAGCCGGGCCCAGCGGCCCCAGTCCGAACGGTTCGCGGCCATCTCGTCGCTGACTGAGGATATGCCGGGGCGCACAGGCTCGGCCAATGCTGTGTCCGCCCCGAACAACAAAGACCGCAGCCCGCTGTGCAGCGTAGGGCCGTTCGCTCTCCAGGGGCGCCGGCGACAGCTCGCGGTACCTCAGTCCGATGGCCACTGCTTCTGTGCGCCGCCATGGGAGGAGCAGCCTGTTGGGGGCGAGTGCTTGCTTCTCCGGCCAGGATGGACGGTGTCTGAGGCATTCGAGTTGGGAGATAGGCAAGCCCACGCCCGTTTGTCGGGCGTGCCAAGCGGGACAAACGGGCGTGCCAAGGCGACCGATGGGCGTGGCACGCCTGATGGACGGGCGTGGGCTTTGATCGCCCGCCAAAACCCACGCCCACGCCCATCCACGCCCGTTGACGCAGGCCCACGCCCATCGGGCACGCCCAAAAGTGAACTCTCCACGGTGGTAGCGTACGCGTGTTATAAAGACCCCATTGTGCCCTCGAGATGCTCCACCGCACAAATGTCGCAAACGTATCGCCAGTATCAAGTGGAAAACGTGTGTTTACCATGGTCTCTTTCAGGTACGCTTCGACTAACCCATATGTGTTCCTCCTGGTAGAAAGGACTGAGGCTCGCCGACGTCCCGATTCCGACACCAGGGCCGGGGGGAGTGTTGGTAAAGATCGAAGCCGTCTCGCTGCAGGTTTGAAACTCCATGTTCGGCTTTCTTCTCCGGATTCATTCATATCCAGTTTCGAGATGTGCTCGTTGTCAATGGGAGCTATCCGTTACCGTGCGTGTAGTCAAGTTTTGACGCTCTCCATCCGCCTAATGACTCTCATACTCTCACCCAGTCTGCTGGACAACGTTGTTCCCTGCAGTGATATGGCCGGCAGCATCGTGGCGATGGGCAATGAAGTCAAGAACTGGACCGTCGGCGATCGTGTCATCGCCAACTTCCATCCCGACCTCCTCCACGAGGACGCAATCACCCTTGAAATGACCAAGAACATCTTGGGCTCCACGGTCAATGGTGTCTTGGGGGAATATCGACTGTTTCCCGCCCATGTGCGTCTGTTTTCACCAATAATCCCCCCCCCACTCAGAATCGAGCTCTCAGAGCTTGGTTATGATCCCAGAGCACTTGTCGTATGAAGAGGCCGCTACACTGCCTTGCGCCGCGCTGACTGCATATAACGCCCTCCTATATGGTTTCGCGCCAGTGAAGGCGGGTGATACCGTGCTTATTCAGGGTACGGGTGGAGTCTCAATGTGCGTCCTTAGTGGAACTTGAACCTTTTAAACGCTGACAAAAACTTCTGCAGCTTCGCCCTGCAATTTGTCCTGGCTTCCGGAGCTACTGCCATCGTAATCTCATCCTCCGATGCAAAGCTCAAGGCCGCAACACGATTGGGTGCCAAACATGTCATCAACTACTCGACCACACCAAACTGGCCCGACGAGGTGCTGAGAATCACCGGCGGACGTGGTGTGGATCGTGTTCTGGACGTAGTGGGAAATGCGGCGCTTGGAAAATCCATCGCGTCCGTGAGGTTGGGCGGGAGCATCGACATTATCGGCGTTCTCGGCGGACAGGTGTGCTCAGCCCATTAAGCCTAGTATTCATCATCCTTAAACCGATGGGAGAGCAACGTGCCCCCGGTGGACATTATAGGTCCAGCCATATGGAAACAACTCAAGATCCGGGGCCTGAGCGTCGGCAGCGTGTCGCAGTGCGCCACACTAATTTCCTCTCTCTTTCTTGGTTGTGCTGATTCACTTCTACCAGATTGAAGATGATGATACGGTTACTGGAGGCCAATCCGGATACAACGCGGCCCGTGATCGACAAGGTTTTCCCCTTCCGAGACGCTGCGGAGGCGTTCCGGTATGTGGAGGAGCAGAAACATGTGGGGAAGGTCGTTATCAAGATTGGAGACTAATTATGGAGATGCTGTGGTTATTACTTGTCTTTCATGAATACGACGAGCTCCTTTCATCTAATAGTCGTGCCTTACATGCAATGAGTTACCCAATTCCAATCAATTACGCCTTCCGCAACCGCTCATGTACCCCGACCAGCACCTGCCTTAGCCCCGGGCGCGGCGCGTCCACACGATCCTGCACAAGCAGCATAACCACCTCCTCGCGCATCCTCTGCGCCTCCACCCACTCATGCATTGCCTTCTCGTCCTTCACCACAAGCATTGTGGGCCAGTTGATGCCTTCCCGCAGCCGCGCAATGATGCCCCGCGCTACACGCGACACCGCCGTGTTTAACACCGGCAACTCCGCCTGCAGTTGTCAGCCATGCAAGAAACTAAACACGGAAACACGGACTGGCCCGTTGAGCAGCTCTGCGTACCCCGCGACGCCCGGCCCGAATATGTCGCGCACCAGCTGGGGAACGGCGTCACGGCCAACCCAGATGTACACCCGCTGGCCGTCGCCTGAGTGGAGGAGATAGACTCCGTGGAATTCCCACCACTCGGAGGTGAGCGGCAGTGCAAGTGGCTCGGTGGGTAGGTCCGTCTCCGGGTCCACTGTGTGCAGCGCATAGACGGCGGGGTAAATCAGCTGGATGAGTCCCTTTAATGACGCCGAGGACATCGTGGCGCGAATATACCCGGCGAGGTCAAACGCCTGCTCTGAGGCGAGTCGCCCCTGCGTCGAGAGCTGTAAAAGCTCAAGTTAATTCCGAAGAGTTAAGGCGGCAAACACACCTTTTTGTAAAGGCTCAACAACAACGTCGGGAGCATGCGTAAGTTGCTCGGCAGCCGCAGCTGCATCTCCGCCCCGTTCCGCATCTCCTGGGCATACGCCCGACACATATTCTCCAGCACCTTGTCCAGCACCCGGTCTCGCAGGTCGTCATCACTCCCAATGGGCCTCCGCTGCACAGCCCGCTTCGCAATGAGCCCAACAACCGCGCCAGCATCTGCACTGGCGAGGACCTCCGCTGCCAGGTGTGTCACTGGTAGCGCACTGGTGATCACACGGATGGCCCGCTGGCCATCGGTCGTCGTGTGCAGCAGCGCAGTCTGAACAACGGCAAGCGGGCCGGCTAGACGCCCGTCGATCTGTAATTCAACCGCGTAGCCACGATCCGGCGGCAAGCTCGCAAAGACGGCGCGGTCGAATGCTTGTAAGAAGAAATCACCGTACATGGCTTTGACGGAGATTCCTGAGATTGTCAGGTGAATTATCACGTAGGACAACAACAACAGACCTCGGGAGCAGCGTACCCGCATCTCCGCCTCGTAGAAGCAAGGTAACGCCAGCACCCGGCCCAGCTCAACCGAGAACTTCGTCTTGTCGCCCAGATCGCGGTAATACATCGTGAGGCCGCCGGTGTAATGCGGCAATAGCGCTACGGAACTTGGTGAGTGGAAGTTGAAATCGTATCTATCAAACAACTAACATAGTGACGGCAGTGCCGTATAGCGTGGCCCGACGAGGAAGAGGTCGACAGAGACACAGCCGTTTACACACGCCGCAGCAAGATCGTGGTAGAACGTTGCCGCGGATTTTGTCTGCAGTACCGTCAAATGGGGACACATATCAATGGTAAACCCACCTCCTCCGTCTTCATAGAGTCTTCCAACGCTCCGCGGCCTACGTGCGGGGCCGATGCAGCAACGAGGACGATCTTGCCGCCCCCTGCCGATGCCTAAGAGCAACATTAGCAAGAGGGACCAAGCCTAAGCGCTAAATGTACCAATAGTTCTCTTGCTGCGTCTATAGCCACTCCTGTTGCGCTCTTATCCTCTCCTCTCCCGGGGAGGAAAAAGGAGGGGAGCTGCGCCAAAAGTCGCAGGAGTGTGTCCCGGACACCATCTTGGGATATATTCACAAGGACGTCGGGATGCGCGAGTGGTAGAAAGGTTTCCGTTATGTCGGGAACAACCAGGAGACCGAATGTCTGTCGCGAAGCTCAACAGTGCGCACGATAAATAACTCCGCGCACCTCTGGAGTAACCTTGAAGAAATGTAGCACAGAGTCATAGCACATAATCGCTACCCGCGTTCGCTGCTGCTTATTCGGCAGTCCATCAGCTCCGAGTCGGAGAAAATCCGCAATTGTCTGTGCCGCCAGCGCAAACAGTCCTGGAAGAGGTCAGCTGCTATCTGCAAACAGAAAAGCCCCACCGTTCTGTATCGCCGCCTCGCTAACATCCAGCAGGAATACGAACGCGGGCGCTTGAGGTGGGGCCCGGCTATAGTCCTGTGTCGCCGCAAAGTCGACAACGGTATGCGTAAGCTCCACGCGTGAGGCATAGACCTCTGCGGCGGGCCGGCCCGCAAAGCCAAACTCGGCGGGGATGGTGTTCGCTGTCCCGCATAGTGAGCAAGTCCACCTTAATGTATAAGGCTTCAGGTGAATCAGAAAGAACCACACACACCTTGTCCCAAAGTCCACAATCCGCACATACGGGTTAATGTATGCGAGGCATTGCTGGCACCGCGCAATGACGCCGTCTGGCGCTGCCAGTGGCAGGGGCAGCTCTTCGTTGTGAATGCTGGGGTGCGGCGTGATAGTCAGCGCCAGCGGGAGGGAAGTTTGTTTGAGGACGGTGTCGCTGACGGGGACGGACGACAGCGTCGGCGTCTGGTACCGACGCGCAAGGTCAATGGTGGCAGGGCTGATAGTCGAGCCCAGCGGGGGAGACAAAGGTGGGTGGGTGATGATGAGGTCAGCAGGGTCTGGCGTGTAGGAGAGCAGGTCGACATGCGTGTAAGGAGGTGACAGGTCTTCATGGAACAATAGCTTGGCAACAGGCTGGCTGTTGGTATTGTCCATCGAAAGAGCGTCCATCTGTTGGGTCAGGCCACCCGCATCGACTCCCGAATACGCGGCAGCCTGCTCAGGGGCATACTGCCTCTGTCGTTTCTTTGTCTGGGGCGCTAGTGCTAGCGCAGAGGCCATTGTGGCGACCGATGACGTGGTGGACGGCGAACTGTATCTGCGGCCGTGAGATGCGTCGTGTGTGGGATGGGAACTGGTGGCCACTCTACTTATCCGTGCGGTGGACGTCGGGAAGAAGATGCAATTCGGCGTTACGTGTCAATGACACGCGTTCTCGGGATCGGCCCGATGATCGACTCATCCTGCCACGTCCTGCCACGTGCACTCCCGGATGAGTCAGAGCCTATCCTCAGAAGATGCCTCAGAAGATGCTTAGGAAAAGCCCGAGCAAACAAATTCACACTTGATGTGGAGCTTCATGTCAGAAAACTCACCGCAGGAGTTTGCAAATATTAAATAAACGGGAGCCGTTTTGTTGGATTATATGCATAATTTTAAATTACAAAAATGGGCAGTGGCTTTTTGATAGGAAAATTGAGGCCTTTTTGGCTCAGATTCAATGCCAAACATGGGTCAAGAGTTTAGGCCTGATAGTAAACAAATCAGAGACCTGTTTTGTCACAATCATACCAAACCAAGGAGGTGTTGTGTGCTAAATAAGCCTAAATCACATAAACAGGCATCCTATTTGCCAAATATTGGCATTTTGGCCCCCAGTAGTATTCAACCTGACTGAGTGAATATAGTGAGACTTTAGGCCAGTGCTGGCAAATATCATTTTGGAGAGATAATAATCATATTCATGAGCTCCAAAATGATAATATATTCATAGTATACTGTTGCATTTAACTCATTTCATCAAGGCCCAAAGACCGTGACATGATGTCATGGATAAGTCACGGATAGGACCCGGCCCGTCCTCTCCGGCGCTGGTGTCAGGCCACCGTGGGCCCGTAACACACAGCATGTGATGACGGGGGAACATGCGCCCCAGTAGGAGGAACGCACACGTGAGAAGCACGTGACCGAGAACGACGCGTCAAGCCGTTGCCGAGCCCAACTTGACACCAGGGCTTGGGGAGGAGTGCTAGGAGGTTAGGAGTAGCGCCTGGCCCGCAAGGGATGTCCGACCGTCCCCTCTGCGGCCAGGAACGGGGAGAGAGGAGGAGGAGGAGGGGCCAGGGTGTCCGATTACCCCCTTTGCGGGCCCGCATATATAAGGCACGATAGTGTACCATGTACTCTATCGCTTAGATCGTCTGAAGAACTACCTTACTCCGTGCAAGGAGGTGCCAGCGACTTATCAGGCCCGCCACGACCCAATTCGAACCTTCGACCATCACTGATGACAAGGGACCGAGTTAACGGGCCCTTTCAGTTTCGATCTACCCCGCTCGCTGTACTCACGGGCCCGACTATCCGTGTGTTCTGTTCTGGGCGTGCGTTCTTAGGAGAGGACCTTGCACGGCCTGACCCGCAGTCTGACAGACATGCCAGATGAACTGAGTAAATTTTCAGACTGTCATCATTAGGTAGTTTCGGTGCTGGAGATGCTGGAATGAAGGCAAAATTCCTTATTTGGATGTCTTTGGGGCAAAATTTGGATAGATAACTGTGACTAATAAAAAAAAAAAATTGTGAGATTGAGATGCATTTGACATATGACTTGATGAATATACTACACCACCAACCCACAGTGATGTACTCCAGATATCAGCAAAAAATATTGTATGATATTTCGTGCGCATGTTAGATAAAGATATGGAACATTGCTTTCAAGTGTTGCTACAAGCAATACAAATAAGTTATATGGTATATCTGCAACCATAAAATAAAGCAATTTTCCACATCTTTAATCTTGTTTTGGGCCACTGAGAGTTAATGACCAACAATGGCCCTTAAAATAGGGATGAGCAGGGTCAACCCACAGGTGTCTGGAGGCTGACTTGGGCACAAGACAGAGTTGAACACAGGACCTCTTGGTGAGGGACAGGTCGGCTGGCAGACACAAAGCAACAGTAAGCCGGCTAGACTGAATAGGCAGGGGTCAAGGAGTAGCTGTCCGTACCTGCACGGCTCAGACCCACCAACCCGCATGGGTCAGCTGGACCCATGCTCATCCCTACCCTCAAACTTTTTTTTGTTTGATTTGAATAGTTGGGAAACTTGCACTTAATGAATATTGAGATCTTTCAGAGCCATACCTGTACTCTTGACATCTGTGGGAAACGGATACCTGTATCCGCAGATGTCAAACCCGCGGATGTTTTCTTGCAGGTACCTATGGTGACATCCACAGGTATCAACACTCATGCTAAGCTTTACATAGAGCCATGGCTGAGGGGCCAGTGTGGATATGGTATGGTCCATACCACCATATACAGTCATATGGCATATGGCATGAGAAGAGGCAGTGCTGTGCAGTACTGGTTGGGAGGACTGTAGGAGTTGAAGGTCACTGAGACCTGGGGGACATACTTCAATGTGCGTGGCAACCTGCGGTAATGGTGATCTGGAGGGAAAGGCCCACTGGGCTCATGGTATCTAGCTAACCGGAGCACAGCTGGTGATCCTGGCATCACTAACAGAAGAATATTATCATGTCAAGGCTAGTTTGGTGGAATCTTGACCTAGATGATGGATTGCCAAGGTCACTGAAGCTGTCAACCATACACACCATATACAGGCTGTAATATGGGATACAGTATGGGTATGGCATCATATATAAGCTGTAGCTTTGACCAATTCTGCTGACTTCATGTGTAATATTTGCTGATCTAATTCCTGTGCATCCACTATGGTCGTTGTAATTACTGTTGCATTGGTGCTCCCTGGTGCAGTAAAATGCCAGAAAGTGCCTTTATGCATGTTTTAAAATGGGTATGGGACTTCTACTATAGTGTGTGTAGTTTAGGTATACCTATGGGTATCCAAGGGCTTACCATACCAGTACCCACACAGCCACCCTACCTATACGTGCGGGTACGGGTGTGGGTTTACCCATGGGTGGCTATGCACTTGAGTGTGTTGACCAGAGGACCAGAGTCAGAATCAAAGTTGGAAATGGAATAGAAGTCGGAGAGCACTTGGGGGCGGAATGCCACCAAAGAATGTCTGGGTGACCAGGGCTTCCAGCTCACCATAAGACAGGAACAGACTAGCAATGTTAATTTACAAAATGAAGTACATAGTAATACATCAAAACAAGGCATAGATGATTGCATAGATCATAAGTTGGCATCATTGGAAATGCTCAGTAAATCTTCATTGCATAAAAAACCAGATACTGGAAACAGAATTGTAGTTTGGAATCAGAATGCCTGAGTTGACACAGACATAATACCTACCTAGTATGCTGTTGAATTATATACTTATATCCTCTAATCAGGACAGAGAGGGCAAAATAGTGAGCCATTAGAAATTGGAGCCATTGTAAGGGCAACCCCGGAGGCCTGAGATCAAGGTCCTAGCAGGGGAGGATCCAAAGCGTGAACATTGGTAAGCGAATACAAATGAAGCTGACCTAGCAGGGGAGGATACAAAGAGAAGAAACTCTAAGGGTCCGCCTGCTAAAGAGCTGACTATATACTGCTTGTCCGTAGCTGCCGCTGTCGGGCACAGAAAGAAGGCTTGGGCGGCGTCGCAGGCGAGGTCCCAGGGCGACCGTCGGGAGGGCGTTGACGGATCGGTGATTGTGTGGGCGAGATGGAGGGCCGGACCGGAGTCGGAACCGGAAACGGACCGGAGTCAGACGCGTCTCCGAGGGGCCGAAAGGGGGGTTCCCCTGACAGCCATGCTGTTATTATTTGATAGTGACAGTCATTGAATTGCACAATTGTCAATGGAAATCAGCCATTGAATAGCTCCAATGCCTGGTACACAATGTGTCTAATATAGTATTGGCCTATCAAGTAGATACATCTTAAGAACAGGATTGGATGGGTGCTAGGTCCTGGGCAGATAGTATAGGGGTGGCCCAATGGCCCAAGCCGAACAGTGACATATAGTTGCAGCTGAATAAATATCACTGACAATATCACTGATGATATCAAATCATGCCATACCGACTTATCACTAGGGTACAGCAAAACTTAAGAAAAACTTCCAAGTCCCAGAAAACAAGGGGGGTTCAACTTTCTAATCGTGGATATAAGATCGGAAAGTTTTTTTCCAACCCACCAGGGACCCCCTCCTGCCATATAGGGTAGTATGTTCCCACAATTGGCATCATGTGACCACTGATGTGCTTAAAAAGTGGCATAAAAATTCAATCTTTGCAAAAGATTTATGTATGTATATATGTATGTATCCAAGCTCATAGGCCTGAAAGTATATATATAAGTATGGGGGCTGTGAACTATAGAAATTAGGGTGTAGACATTATATTTTCAGTGTCTTTACACCCATATAAGGCTCAAATCTTTCATATACAATAAGTTTTTTTTACCCCCCAGGGACCCCCCCTCCTCCTACCCCATAAGAAGGCTCACAGAATTATCTGGTTAATTATCACTGTGTAGGCCCTGGCACTCCTCTCTTCTTGTTAGAAGGATAATTGAGATTAACAGATACTATATAAATATTGGATTTTGACTGGGGACTCTAAACCAATTGGGTTACTAGTATTTTAAAATGTTGGGGCTGCTAATCCATAGACTCTTTTTTTTAAAAAAAAAACAAAATCCTGCAAGACAAAACTTGAATCATACCCATGAGTGTTTTTTTGGAAATAACATGAGTAGAAGCAAATCTCTTTGTTAAATAAGACTGACCATTTCCTTTGCCTGGCCCACAGATCTAGATCTTGCACAGATCTCCATTTTAAGTTGCCACTAGGTGGTGCAACATGACAGTATTTGCCATGTTCCTTGCACCAGACTTAAGATGGTGGTCATGTGGGATCAAGTCAGGAACTTGAACGGTGTCCCAGCCCTACAAATTTACAACATGGTACACAAATAAGAACACAGAAATACAACTTGAAGGACCCCCCAATTCTTTAGACAACACTGAGCACCACCTTCTCCTCGGACACTCGTCCATCGACGAACTTGCCCTCGCTGTCAAGCAGGCTCGCCCCCGAGTCCGAGCGTCTGGGGCGGATCTCAACCGCACGTCGTGGTGTCTGCGGATATGGGCCCCAAGCTGCATTGGATCCCGGGAGTGTGATATTGGCCGGCGCAGCCGCTTGAGAACGCGGTGTGCGGTTGGCTTTCCATCCGACCCGCACCGCGACGAACATGGGCACGATGTTCTAAACTTGATCAGCATCTTTTATAAAGTAGCACAGCGAAAGATCACTAACCACGCCCTGCTGTACGATCCCCACAATGACCAGATGGCTAATCGTCCAGTTCCCATTCACTTTGCTGGGAGATGCGATAGATATCACCATGGCGAGGGCACAGATGCTATATATGGCACCGGATTCGATCCTATGGTGTTGTTGGAGGACTGGAGGAGAAACAGCAAATGTGACGTACAGAATCTTGAGCGCGAGTGTGTATCGGCCACGGATCTCGGGAGTCTGCCCGTTTCGCAGAGCATTTTCCCCGAGCACGGACAGTGCACGCTGCATCCACCAGATTCGGCCACCTGACAATGTTTGAGTAATCCATTACTTGTTGGTGGTGGGAGGAGGGGAACCGACCTGTCAGGGCAGCAAGCAAGAGGGTGGTGCTCAGTCCCAGTGTGAATGGGATGAGCTCAAGCTGGGCATTGGATGCATTGAGACCGATAAGGGATAAGGAAATGCCGACAACTATCGTACAGTTGGCGCATAAATGGCCGATTATGGGGAGAGCGCACCAAGCGTCGCAGTCATAAGAATGATTGGTACAGCTAGGACGACGCGACGGCGACCCCAGACCTTCAGACATCGATGAAGCTTCGGAAGTTTAGTGAATAGTGACTGGGGAGGAGAAGTGGACACACGAAGATGATATCCGTGAGTAGACTGACATGATCAGCTATCCGGAGAGAAATCCTGGACAAAGACACGCACTTATTCACGGCTAAGACTAGCTGGTGTGCCGCCGTCAGCCGACCCAACGTTGAGTGGTTGTCGATTTCCACCATCTTGCCTTTTTGCAGGTGAACAAGATCGACGACGGCGCCAACACAGGCGAGCGCGATGGTCGCCTGCACCGTGGCCAACGGGAAGGTCATCAGAGTCGAAACGAGCATGAAGCGGCGGCTGCCTTGTGGCGGGCGTCGTGTCAGGGAGACAACGGCGATAAAGAAGAGAACAAGGTAGATTCCTGCACTGATGAGCTGAGCTTTGAAAAAGGGGACGTGCGACACACCATAGAGGAAAAGAGAGATCTGTATGCCTATCCTTAACCTCGGCAGAAAGAATCGCAACGGACGGACGTACACCAGCTTTCCCGAGCTCGCCTGCGAACAGGGCACTAGCGCTTGTAGTCTCTGCCACCGCCGGGGCCATCTAGGAACAAATGAAAAGGAGGGAAGGGGAACTTTGACCTGGGCGAAAGAACGAAGAGGGAGAAGGAGTCTGAGAAGGACCACTGGCCCCCTTATGTCCCATCTGCGGCCGCGCTTATCCGTATCGGCGCTTGCATCACGATGGCGACACCTTCGACGCCTTCGCGATCTGTTGTTCCACAGTTGGGGCATCGCAGGACACGACATGAATCTGGAAGTGGTCGTTCGTGAGAGAGAGAAAAGAATGTAGATCAGTGACCAATCGACTCATCATGATTCGCTGTGACTCGGATCCCACACTGTCGATCAGGTGGACAAATTTTCTCTTCCCGACCAATGCGTCCGCGTCAGCGACTGTCCCTTGTCCCCCGCCGCCACCTTGCGCGCTACGGCCGTACTCGACGATGGGCAACGTTATAGCGGCCCTTGCACCGCAATCAAGTCTCTCCGTGGACCTCTGGCCGCCTCCGCCCACATTTGACCTCACCCGCGACATTCCGGACCTTTCAGGTACGCAATGTTATCCTATTCCCCCTCTCCATGTTGATGCTGAGCAAGGGTATGTCGCACTCGTCACCGGCGGCAACTCGGGTATCGGTTACTATGTCGTCCAGCATCTTGCGCGCAAAGGCGCGAAGGTATACCTGGCTGGGAGGAACAGCGCCAAAACCCACGAGGCTGTGGCGCGGCTGAAGGCAGACGGGGAGGTGGTGTTTCTGGAGGTAGACTTAGCGGATCTCCGGAGCGTGAAGCGGGCAGCGGACGAGTTCTTGGCGATGGAAAGGCGGTTAGACATCTTGGTCAACAACGGGTGCGTTCTTCGCGCGCTTTCCCTTTGTACGCTTGCTCACTATGGTATCATCCCCAGTGGCGTCATGAATCCCCCGACTACTCTTTTAACCGCACAAAATCTTGACGCTGCTTTTGGCACCAACATCGCAAGCCACCACCTGCTCACGACACTGCTTCTCCCCGCCTTGAAGGCTTCGCATGCCGCTACGGGAAAGCCCGCGCGGGTACTCAGCACTGCATCAAGCACGCATACGCGGCCGAGCGGCGTGTCATTTACGTCGCTCATCGGGGGTAAAGAGCGAGACGAGTGGCTAGCGGAGCAATGGGGCATGCTACTTGGCTTGTATGCAATACTGTTCTTCACGGCAAGCACAGCTGACGAGTCACGCAGCCAGCTCTACGCGCAAAGCAAGCTCATCGGTGTCGTCATCACCAACCATTGGGCCAAGACGCACGCCGCGTTCCTTGTCGCATCATCCGTCCACCCCGGCTCGATAAACACCGACTTGAAGAGGTCTCTTCTTCCTCTATCCCCGGCAGTCCGCTGACACGCCCTGTAGACATTTCCCTTCGGCGTTTCAACTGCTCTGGCAACTCGCCCTCAACCCTCCCTTGTGCGTCCATCTCCTGGGAACATGCTGCTCGCATTGACGACCCGAATTAGGCGCGGCGCGTATCCGCTTCTATGGGCAGCCGCCATCGCTTCGCCCTCCGAGATCACCGCTGAGGTAAACAATTGCTCTCTTCTGCCTGTCCACATATAGTTAACGCGATTTCAAATGCGCAGTATATCGTCCCCCCTGCGCGCAAAGGAGTCCCCAATCCACTCACACGGGACGCCGCGTTCGAGAGACAGGTCGTGTCGTTTGTCGATGACGTGATCCAGGATTATTTGTAGTTGGGCGGCGTCAGGACTTGGTCAGAACAACTACAAACACAAGAGTCCTTAGCATTTCATTGGACCCCGTTATAGTTACGATAAATATTCCGCAATATATAGGTTACTCATAGTTATACGACCACAGGTTTCACCAAACCTCTCACGCCACCCTAAAGGGACAACCACACGAGTTGTCCCTGTAGGGTGGTGTGAGAGGCTGGGTGCATGAAAAAAGGTTGAAACTAAATGAACACTTGAACCGATAATGGGTCGACTGCAATCGAAAGCCCGTAATCAATGACAAGCCCCAGCCATACGAGCAGACCGAGATAGCTGTGCTGGTTGAAATTGCCTGAATGTGCATTAGTCCTGACACTATTCTGAACGGCAAGAAATGGATACGTACGCCAACAGCTCTTCGGATCGTCCAAATCCACCGTCGCGTACTGCCAAACGAGATGGAGGGCGGCGCCGCCGACGGAAACAACGAAATACGCGATGCCTTGGTGGTTGAGCACGCCAACAAGCGTGAGCATGAGCACCAAAACGACCCCGCATGCGACGAGAAGAGTACGAATCCAGTCGCCAAAGAGGATCGCAGTGGAACGCACACCGACGGTGACGTCGTCTTTGATGTCTTGACAAGCATAGATCGTATCTAGCGGTGAGGTCAGTGAGATATTTACCGCCGACAACTCAGCAGTCAATTACCATAGAGCATGGTCCAACTGCAAGGGTGGTCAGCTCCAGTCCCGTTAGATGTGGAGGCACGTACCACCAACACCCGGCCATCCCCGCAGCAATGAGCGGGAAGTCTATTGCGGGAACGAGCCACATCCAGGCGGTCACCAGACCGAAGTTCATGGCGAACCCGAGCCAAGCCTGCGGCCAGTAGGTGACCCGTTTCAGCAGGGGATAGATCGCGAACAGCGGAAACAGCTGGAAGAGGGCAACGACGAAACTAGACATCCCAATCAGTGATCGGTAGAAGCATGCGCATATTATTACGCACGCCAGGCCGCTGGTTGTGAAGTAAAAGAAAGAAAAGCCCAATATGTACTGAATGAGGAGGTACCAACACGCGGCGTGAACAGAGATTCTGCCGCTGGGTAACGGGCGCCCTTTGGTGCGCGCTGGCGACTTACGGTTAGCTCTAAAAAGACTAGAAAGGTGCAACACCAACCAACGCCGGCATCCATGTCCCGGTCGAAAATGTCATTGACTGTGCATGCCGAGCTGCGTAGGAGGAACGCGGCAACCAGCGACTTTCCCAGCCCATGTGTGTATACGACAAGAGGAGTATGTGTCGCATACGCGGCCAGCGTCAGACCCCAAGCTATGCAGGTAAGTGAGCGGCGCATCACAAACGATGTTGCACGGAAACCAACCGAATGGCCAGAACATGAGAATTGTCCCGATGGGCTGTGCAGGCAGTCAGCGTCGGAACGAGCAAGTCAGGCGGCCGGCACTGGCCTTCTCAAGGCGGATTAATTCCAAGTAAGCCCGATGTTCGTCGCCGACGAGCCCGAGGAGGGATCGTGGAGTCGATTCCGCGGTGACGTGGTAACGGTGTGAAATAAGAAGAGAAGTCTCTTTTTCTGAATGACTCATGTCGAAGTGCGAGGGATGAAGAGGAGGAGTAGAACGCAGAATGTCGAAGGTCAAAAGCTGAAGGACGAGAACGATGAAAATTATGTCCCATGAGTGTGGTACTTATACCCCCCGCATGCCGCCTCTGGTTGTAGGATAGTCCTGGGGTTTATGGATCAGACATTAGCATACGCATTGACATGTCCGCGTCCACCCGGAATCGGACTCACATACCTCTTCTCAGCCGCACAAGTCTCAAACATCGACGTTAGCTTACTGTCAAGTGCAATCCGAGTTGTGCGTACGTTTTCACAGTGTGCCGAGAATGTCGCAAGTCTTGCGAGTGCGCCTCGACCGGAGTTGACGCCGGATCTGAGTCGGAAAAGAGAAGAGAATAAAGTATACCTGCCGTCCTGTGAACTGGGTTTGGGTTGACCAATGTAGCCGAGATCCGAGCAACAACAGAGAGCGAACACGTAGGATGAAACAGAAAGGCTGAAACAAAAGGGTGAAATCCCCAGATCTCTGTACGGAGCACTGTGCCTTTGCGAATAGGCCGCGAGCAAGCGACCATTCAATCGTTTCCAGTCCGAATATTTCGGTTTGTGGTGTTTGGAATTAAGGTTGAAGCGAGGAGAAGCGGCATGTCTTAGTCAAGAGGAGGGGCGTTCACCTTGCAATACAAGCCAGAGGCAGATCAATTCAACAGCTACAAGACTGAAAGCTCCCGAAAACACCTCAGTTGGGACTTCATCGACTAAAATCACCAGAGTGGGTCTGGTAGAAATATCAGAGTGACGCTTGACAGAGAGAGTCAAACGCACTGCGACATGCGCCGCAGCTGGCGGTGGCGGTCCACCAGGGGGCTATATTGACAGGATAGTCAACGGAAGGAACTAGGACGAGAAAAGGAAGCGCACGGGGGAATATGGAGCCCCGGGGGCTGGTGGTGGGCCGGGAGGCTTGCCGGGTTGAGTAACGCAAGAGTATAAAGGGCATTGACACACCGGAGCATATTGTACATTCGGCCCACTGAGATCCTCCTTCACATATGGCGGTGGGGCCCACTCCCCATCCATCGTTCGTGACCCAGTTAATGGTGGTGGATAGACATATTCACTCGTCGGGTTTTGAGGATGCGCCATGGGGGTGCCAGGGGCCGAGCGATAAGGATTCCCGCCATACTGCATCCCATGCGGAAAGCCAGCATTACTCGTCCACGAGTTCAGCGGCGCTGAGGTCGGTGGGCGACCAGCGTTGGCTTGCCTTGCAGCCAATGCTCGACGACGGCTGAGGGTTCCGCAACATAGAATGAAGAATAGGGCAACAGCTTTTGTTGAAGGGAGGGGAAAGAGGAGGAGGCAGCCATGATTAGCGAAACGACCACAGCTAGCAAAAAACACGCACCGATGATAATCCCAATAACCGCTGTCCCCGTCGAGATATGGTGGGTGTTGTTGTCGTCGTCGCTCGCCGCGACCACACTGACGACAAATAGTAGGATCCGGATGAGCATTGGTGAGGACAGCGCCAACGACATGAGAGACGGGAGAGAGGAGCCAGGCACAAGCCACACGGCTGTCACAGTCATGTGTCATGACGTGTTCCGCGGTGATCCCCGGATTGTCCCGTTGATCGGTGATGGTGTTTCATCCTTGCGTTTCATCTCAACTTCGAGGATTTTTAAAAAAAATATATGTCTGGGATTGGGGATAATCACACAATACGATAATACTTACACACATTTGTTTTTTTTTCATGGCACTCTGGAAAGTAGCGCGATGGTGTTCCGGAGCAAGCCGCGCATTCGTGGACCCGTCGGAGTTTGTCCTGTCGTTGCGTGGTCTGCGGAATTGAACACAGAGGTTGAATCAGATATTAACTGGCCGGCGCGCTAGTTGGCGGCGTGAGGGAGCCCACTCTCCTGGGACTGCGGACTGCAAACTGCCGGGGCCCGCCGGCCCGGGGCTCAAAGAATCGGACTGCTCGGTCGATGACTGCTATGTAGTCGCGACGCTGACGCTCTTCATTAGGCGACGTAGTAGAGCGAAAGCTGCGAACATCATGGTGAGGCACTGTGCTACTTAAGTAGTAGCCTGGAATGGATATGAATAATCAAAAATTCTGAGATTACAATCGGTTGTACTGAGAGTGTCGTGCGGCAATTGTTTCCACTTTTTCCACCTCATTCTGTCTTGGGCGTAAACGTAGCCTTGAACGCTTTCTACTCAGGCCCGTCAGTCCCGTCTTTTAGGCAAAAGAATGTAACGCACCTTCTTCTCCTCATCGTGGACCCACCCTCCGCAACAGCACTTGTCCACGCCGCGTATGCGGCCACAGCAGAAGCGCAACTTGGCGCCAACGTCGACGTACTGCTTGAGCAGTCCCGCCCAGTCCTCCGCGAGGCCCGAAGCATGCGCGGTTGCGCGGTCAATGGCGAAACGCTTGAGGTACATCGCGAACCCACCAAAGCCGTGGCCTATAAAGTCTGCCGAGAGGTAGAACTGGCCGATACCGTAGAAGTCGGCGCCCTGCTCGATGCGCCCACGGTCACACGCGGCATCGTAGCCCTCCGTCATCATGCGCAGCGCCGGCGCGAGCTCGAGGCCGACGAGCTTGAAGCGCCGGCTGGCGGGGAGCACGCCCGGACCCTTGGTCACGTGGGCGCCCTTGTGCTCGAGCTTGACAAAGAGGAAGCGGTTGCGCTCGGCGTGCGGGTGAGTGCGCAGTTGGAGCGCGGCGATGAGACAGTTTTTGAGCGGCGCCTCGTAGTAGCGCATCCACTCCATCAAGTCCGCGTAGCCTGTCTCAAGCCCGGCGTCTGTCTTTATACGTGCAGCTTCTTCTTGCACACGCTTGCACTCGGGCTTGTGCGATTTCCAGTCAGAGACCTGGCACTTTTTGCTCTGGGGCACATGTTAGCATGATAGTGAAGTGGGGAGCTCGAGACGGGTAGCGCACGCAGTAGAACACCGTCGAGCATGCCATGCACCTGGATAGCTTCCCGCCACCATGGCGCTGGAAGATGAGACATCCGTTGCAGATCGCGTGGGTATGGATGGGCCTCGCATCGTGGAACATGGGCAGGTCGTGCGAAAGCTGCGCCGCCATTGTCGCCAGCGGGATTCCTTCACTGTGGATGAGAAGCTGAGAGGAAAAGAAGGGACAGGCAACGCTGCCTTGACCGTCGTCGTGGGGAGAGGGAAACAGAGGCACCCAGAACGTGGGAGCGATGATCGGGTACTCAGCCGAATGACGCCGATTGGTTGGCCACACGTGATGACGTCTTACGTACGGTCTTGGCGCCTTACGACTCCAGCCATGTCCCCAAAGTGTCCCCAAAGAACAGGACCTGGACCCCGCTCCATGCATTCCTGACAAAACACCTCCACAAGCGCTTCGGCGCGCCGCGCAGCAGCAGCATTGGACTCTTTGCGCCCTGGTAGTCGAATTCGAAACCTGTGTAAGTTACTAATAATATAAATCAAAGTAGCATTTGTTCTCGATGCTCTGCAATATTTTCCTGAAAAACTGTCACTTGTCTCCAGTCCAGCTTCAAAGACAACGGTCAAGAAAACCCAAAGAAAATGGGAGTAACAAGTAGATGGGTAAAATCATGATGCCGGCTGGACTGTTGACGTAACCTTCCCCTGCGGCAGCTTCGGCGCCATCGTTGACCGTATCAAGTCTGCCGAAAGGTTGCCGTGTCACACTGGCGCGACCGACGATGATCGTTCTGTCTTGCTAGGCGCATGCTCTCGTAAACCCAGTGAGCAAGCGCTGGCTGGCAGCGACCACTGCATCGAATGATTATTTTATTTTTTGCCTCGTACGACTACAACTCGACCCACTGGCACACCCGCGACTTAGGCTGAAGACATATAAAAGCCTCTACAGGCCACACGCACACCCATCCCCAACTCTCTTTCTATCCTCTGTGATGCCCACCACTTCTGCGACACCCTCAATCACTGCCCTTGATCTCTCGCCCATCTACCGAAACTTTACCGGTGCTCGTAATGACGAAGAAATGACGCTTGTTCGCCGAATGCGTGTCGTCCAGAAAGAGCAGAAAATTATGCTGAGTGTGAACCCTCAGTCTCGCTCCCTTACTGTTTGGAACTGGTATGTCCCTGCATTGTTTACCTCGGCTCATCGTTCCCTGCTGATATCTTCCTGTTAGGCCAACTAATAATGGTATTCGTGTTGCACCGTCCGACATCTACACATATATCGAGCATCACCTTATGCGACTCCCATGCTGCTTCTGTGTGCTCAGATATCCAGGAAATATAGCTAGCAACTGGTATACAGAGGTCAAGATTGTCCTTTCAATGACTGGGCCCTTAGCCGGGGAGTGTGTGGCTCGTTGTGCCTCAAGGGAGTGCAAGTATTTTAGTAAGTCATTTCTCTTCATCCACAATTGAATTGTCTCATATTATATAAGTGCTCTTTGAACGGTGCTTCAATTCGCGTGCCCAGCCTGTGAAGGGGTACTCTACCCGAGGTAACTGCATGATTATCTTCAATCTTCTTTCTCTTTCTAATGGTACATAGGTGACCGTGACCCCCTCCCATTTCGACGCTACATTGAAGAAGAGACACCTGAACGTCGTCTTATAACCCGTCAGTAGTGTTCATTCTCTTCGGATTGCACATTCTGATCATTTGCAACTTACAGCAGCGAGCACTGCAACACCTCCATCAAACCCTCGTCGTCGTCATCGAAATGAGCCTGAAGAGGAAACACCTACACGTCCTCTGAAACGCCGTCGCACCAGTAAGTTTTTGATAACAACACTGTCCTGCATGATCATTGATATGGCGATAGGCAACATCAATACCTCTATTATCGAAAATGCAGAGCCAAACTCTCCCTCCGACAAGCCCTTTGATCTTCTCCTTCGTCTCGATGACTGTACCAAGCCGGGTCTCACAGAGACAGAGTTCCGTGGTCTATTTGTCAAGTGCTCTAACTGCCATTTATATACTACCAAGTCCGCCTTCGAAGAGCATCACTGCCGCACACTCATTCCCACCTACCTTGCCAATGGTATTATTGACCTTACTGGAGAGTCAGACGATGCGTAGCTACAGATGGCGATATAGATACAACACATCCTTTAAATATTTCTCTTTCTTCTACCTACAAGTTATTTAATTCACTGAGACTAATTTTCTATGCCATTCCGAGAATCAGTATGATTTGAGACTTGTTACAAGAATACAACTACGGAAGTAGAAGCCCAACTTTGCCAGAGCCTGTCCCGACCAGCTCACGACTACCTGCAACTGCTTTCTCAAATGTGTCACGGGCACGATTGAAGGCACGGATTGTCTTATCGAGCTGCGCCTGACTTCCAACCCTATCTCGAATCTGTTGAAGCTTGTTCTCGGCTTGCTGCATCGCAGAATAGACCTTCTCGACACGTTTGTTCTGGATTTCAATGCGACTATCCTGCTTGGATAATATCTTGTGCTGGACCGTTACTGAAGAGAGAATCAGACCCAAAAATCAAGCCGAGGCAATAGAACGTACCACGTCGTTTCAAACTCTTCTTCGTGCTTTCAGCAATATGCCCCCGGGTGTAGCTGGGTCGAATGCCGAACAGGCCAAGGTTCTGTTACAATCGTTGTAGACTCGGTGTCATATCTGTTTGAGCAAACTGCTTACCCCAAGCGTCTTGAGCTTTAGGCTGTCAAAATGGAGTCCTTTTTTGACTCCTCCCACCAATGTACAGGCAACACCTTCACGATTTGCATCCGCATGCAAACTCTCGATGATGTTGCTGGTATGGTCACCGACTTGCCAAATTGAGCGCAGAATGAAGCTGCGTTCCCAACATAGAGCGGGAAATGCGAATTTGCTACGAATTTTATCTGCCACCCAGTCTGCGCAGATAGTGGTAAGTGGTGCGGAAGCATAAACAATCATTTATAGCATACTTGCGCCAGCTTGACCACCCTCAATGATGATTCGCTGGAGGGTCGACTCCCAGCTAGGATGCTCCATGCATACAAGGCTTCGCATCAGGTTTCGGATATCTTCCGACACATTCGACTTGCGTATATTGCGATATATATGTGCCGTACAGAGTCGGGCAACACGAGCGAGATGGTCGTATTCGTCCAGCGACATGAGCGGTCGTTCTTGATGAAGGTCCATTTTCCCCCGGAAACAATTGCGCATAAGCCTTGAGGTATAGTCCGAGGCCTGCATCAAGCTCAACGGATATTTCTACAATGAGCATTAAGTCCACGTACCTTTGGCTTGACCACCATGCTGGTCCATCGCAAAGTGTAGGATGCCTGTCAGGGGAACCTCCCTTTCGGCCCCTCGGAGACGTCTCCGATTCCGGTCCGACTCCGGTTCCGTCTCCGGTCCGGCCCTCCATCTCGCCCGCACAATCACCGATCTGTCAACGCCCTCCCGACGGTCGCCCTGGGACCTCGCCTGCGACGCCGCCCAAGCCTTCTGTGCCCGACAGCGGCAGCTACGGACAAGCAGTATATAGTCAGCTACCTAGCAGGCGGACCCTTAGAGTTTCTTCTCTTTGGATCCTCCCCTGCTAGGTCAGCTTCATTTGTATTCGCTTACCAATGTTCACGCTTTGGATCCTCCCCTGCTAGGACCTTGATCTCAGGCCTCCGGGGTTGCCCTTACAGCAGAAGAAACTCTCTACGGGATCAACCGGACAAGATTGCCAGGTTCGGCGCTGACTCAGGCTCGGAGTACGAGTCCGTTCCGCCCTCGTCACCGCCCCTGCCACTTGTCCCCTCCTCCTCTACTCCTGTGGTCCCCGCACCCGTCATGCCGTCCGGAGTCACTCCTACCGCAGACGCCCGGCTGGACTCACTCGAGGCGAAAATCGATAGCCTAACTGAGGCCCTTGCTTTACTCACCAACCAGGCTTCCGCTGCCGCTGCCGCCGCTAATAATGCTGGCGGACCCCAAACACCATCGCCGGAGACGTCGATTCCGACTCCGACTCCGGTCCAGGGCGACTCGAAGCCCTTTTTGGCGACATCAACCTCGCCTCAAAATTGGTCTTGCGACCAAACCCCCCGTTCACCTTCAACGGCGACCGGAAACGCGGCCGCGCGTTCCTCTACGCGGTCCGCACCTACGCCCGCCTTGCCCCTGAGGCCTTCGTGGTCAACGGAGAGGCGAGTGAGGAAAAGGCCGTCCGCTATGCCATGTCGTTTATGGCAGAAGGACCCGCTCAGCAATGGGCGGAGCGCCACGGAAGCAAAGCCCCGTTTCCGTTTCCGTCCTGGGGCTCGTTCGTTTCCGAGTTTCGACTCCGGTTCGTCGAGGAGAACGAGCAAGATCATGCTCTCTCCAAACTGGAGACTTCCGCCTATCACATGGGCACAAAGGATGTCTACCAGTACACCGACGACTTCGAGGACCTGATGGACCTCGCCGGATTCGAAGACGCGTTGGTCAAGGTGACCAAGTTCCGCCACGGACTTGACCCCCTGATCAACAACGGAATCACGTCCTCGAACGACCCCCCGGACCTCCGGGATTACCTTAGCTGGCGCACCCGGGCCTTCCGTCAATACGAGGCCCTGGTCCGGGCCAAGCTGATCAAGTCAGCCGCCCCCAAGACGCCTGGCGGTTTGATTCGGACTCCGTTTCCGGTCAACCGCATCCCGGCTCCGGCCCCTTTCCGCCCGGTGGCTCCGGTCGTGCCACCCGCGGCCCGCGCCCTCGCTCCGGCGCCTCCAGCTCCCGTCCCTATGGAGTTGGATCGCACCAGGGCTCGGGGTGCCCCTCGTCGCGCCTGCTTCAGGTGCGGCGACCCAAACCATCTCGCCCGGGATTGCCCCCCCCCCGCCGATGTCCGCTCAATGGACATCCTCGACGAGGTGATCCAACAACTCGGTGACGAGATGTTAGCGGAGTTGATCGCCCGCTACACGGACACAGCTGCCCTGCCGGAGACGGCAGCGGAGTCGATGGCCGGAGAGGATTTTGTCCCCCGCGACGAGTGACTGGTGTGCCCTCGTTCGCGTCTATAAATCGTTTTGCCTCTTTGTATGATGAATGCAGTTCCTTGCCCTACAATGAGCCCGAAACGAAAGACACATCCTCTCCTGCCCCCGCCTCGACTCCGTCTCCGACTCCGCCCGCGACTCCGGTTATCGTCCTCCGCCGCCTCACTGCCTGGGAAAAGAAACTGCCCAAGCAGTACACCGTTGCCGCTGCCCCTGGGGCGAACTCCCTCCACCTCCCGTTAGAGCTCGAGTCCACCACCAGCGCGCTGAAGCTCTCACTCTCTGGGCTTGTCGACTGTGGTGCCACCTCCGACTTCATTGACACGAACTATGTTGCTCGGAATGGCATTCCGGTCCGCACCCTCGATCAGCCGATTCCGGTTTTCAATGTCGATGGCACCCCCAATGACGCTGGCTCCATCAAACAGATCGCGGACTTGGTCCTGCGCTACAAGGGCCATGCCGAACGAGTTCAGCTGGCCGTCACCCATCTTGGCAAGCAAGACCTCATCCTGGGGTATTCCTGGTTGCGGAAACATAACCCAGAGATCAATTGGGAAACCAAGGAGGTCAAGATGACACGGTGCCCCCGCAATTGCTCGACCTGCCGTGAGGAAGAGCGGGTCGAACGGACCGAGTTGCGGCGACTCCGGTCGCTTCAGAAGCGTCTCCGCTCCGGCCCGTTCCCCTCGGTCTGCGCCATGGACCTTTCTGGGTCTGATGACGGAGACGACTCCGTCTCCGGTGACGACTCCGGCCTGCCTGATCTGACGCCGGACTCCGACGACGACGATGACGATGGTCAGCTTGAAGATGGTGACCGCATCTTCTACACCTCGTTCCGCCCCTCGGAGGAGATACGCGCTGGCAGTACTGTCTCGCAACGCCTGGCCGAAGCCTTCGCCAGGAACTCCGCCCCTCCGCCCTCCGAGATCCCGGACTGGGCTAAGGAGTTCCAGGACGTCTTCAACAAGGAGTCCTTCGACACGCTACCGGAGCGGAGAGCCTGGGACCACGCCATTGAACTCGTCCCCGACGCTAAGCCCACCAACTGCAAGGTGTACCCCATCTCGCCCCTCGAGCAACGCGAGCTCGACGCGTTCATCGAGGAAGGGCTTTCGACGGGCCGGATTCGCCCCTCCAAGTCTCCGATGGCGTCTCCGGTCTTCTTCGTCAAGAAGAAGGACGGTGGACTCCGCTTCGTCCAGGACTACCGTGCTCTCAACGCGATGACTGTCAAAAACCGGTACCCCCTTCCGCTGATCAACGACCTCATCAACCGGCTCAAAGGCGCTCGTTACTTCACCAAACTCGACGTCCGTTGGGGCTTCAACAACGTCCGGATCAAGGAAGGTGACGAGTGGAAAGCGGCTTTCCGGACTAACCGAGGCCTGTTCGAGCCCTTGGTGATGTATTTCGGCCTGACAAACTCTCCCGCGACGTTCCAAACGATGATGAATGACATTTTTCAGGACCTCATCCTTTCCGGAGACGTCATGATCTACCTTGACGACATCTTGATCGCCCATTCCGACCTCCGGAAACACCGGCAGATTGTTCAGGAGGTCTTGCGGCGACTCCGAGAGCACAAGTTGTACCTCCGAGCGGAGAAGTGCGACTTCGAAAAATCGTCAATCGAGTACCTCGGAGTCATCATCTCCCACAACCACGTCGAAATGGACCCCGTCAAGGTCGCAGGCGTCTCCGCTTGGCCGACTCCGGAAAACAAGAAGGACATTCAGCAGTTCCTTGGGTTCGCTAACTTCTACCGCAGGTTCATTCGGGACTTCTCGACCCTTGCGCGCCCTCTTTTCGTGCTCACCAAGAAGGACCAGCAATGGACTTTGGGGCGACGCGGAGGCCTCCGCGTTCCAAGCGATCAAGGACGCGGTCACCTCGGAACCGGTCCTGGCGATTCCGGACGACACACGGCCTTTCCGACTCGAGGCGGACAGCTCTGATTATGCGACGGGGGCGGTTCTTTCACAATCCGCCCCGGACGGGAAGTGGCACCCTGTAGCATTCTATTCCAAAAGCTTAAATGATGTCCAGCGCAACTACGAAATCCACGACAAGGAGATGCTCGCGATCATCCGCGCACTCGAGGAATATAGACACTTCCTCGAGGGCGCCGCGCACCCTGTCGAGATTTGGACTGACCATAAGAATTTGGAGTACTTCAGGAAGACGCAACACCTCAACCGGAGACAGGCCCGGTGGTCTCTGTACCTCTCCCGGTTCGACTTCACGCTGCACCACAAACCTGGCCGCGATATGGGTCGGCCTGACGCCCTCTCCCGGAGACCCGACCACGGAGTCGATTCCGACAACTCCGACGTCGTCCTTCTGCGGCCTGAACTCTTCCACGTCCGCGCACTCGAGGGCGTTTCCGTTTCCGGTCCCGGCTCTGAACTCCTCCGTGATATCCGTGATGCCCTCTCCGGTGAGCCTGACCTGGAGGAGCCCGTCGCACTAGCGGCCCGGCAACTTCTTAAGGTTCAAGGTCAAGCTCGAGGCCCCCGCTCCTCACGTTCTGACGAGTGGGCCGTCTCCGGCGGTCTTCTCCATTTCCGAGGAAAGATCGTCGTACCAAAGGACAAGGACCTCCGGAGACGCATCATCGAGCTCTGCCATGACACCCGAGTCGCCGGACACGCAGGTCGTTTCAAGACCCTGGAGTTGGTCTCCCGGAACTACTGGTGGCCTCAGATGTCTCGCCATATCGGCCGGTATGTTGCGACCTGTGACTTGTGCTGTCGCACCAAGGCACTCCGGAGACTGCCCCACGGAGAACTGCACCCCACGGAAACGCCTCCGGAACGCTGGCATACCGTCTCCGTCGACTTCATCGTAGAGCTTCCCGAAGCCCATGGGTACGACGCGATCATGGTCGTCGTTGACACCCTCGGAAAGCGCGCCCACTTCTCAGAGTGTCATACGACGGTCGATGCAGTAGGGGCAGCCCGCCTCTACTACCGGAATGTCTGGCGGCACCATGGGACTCCGGAGAAGTACGTCTCCGACCGCGGCTCGCAGTTCATTGCGGACTTCACCCGAGAACTTTGGCGTCTAATCGGCATCAAGCCCGCCACGTCCACCGCGTACCACCCGCAGACAGACGGTCAGACAGAGCGCGTCAACCAGGAGCTGGAGCAGTACTTGCGGATCTTCACCAACTACCAGCAGGACGACTGGGACGAGCTGATTCCGGCCGCGGAGTTCGCCTACAACAACCACGTTCACTCCTCCACGCAGCAGGTCCCCTTCATGACGGACACGGGACGGCTCCCGCGCATGGGCTTCGAACCCGGAGTCCGTTCCGCCATGGAGTCAGTGAACGAGTTCCGCGACCGGATCGCCACTGGTGTTGCTGAAGCCAAGGCCGCGCTCACTAAGGCCAAAGAGGAGTACAAGCGCTACTACGACCGGAGACGGACTCCGTCTCCGGAGTTTAAGGTTGGCGACCGTGTTTGGCTGGATGCCTCTGACATCAGGACGACTCGCCCCTCGGAGAAGTTCTCCCACCGCCGCCTCGGACCATTCAAGATAGTCGCGGAGATCAGCAAAGGTGCCTACAAGCTCGACCTCCCTCCGCGCTACTCGAAGCTCCACCCGGTCTTCCCCGTCGTCAAGCTCGAGCTCGCTCAGGACGACCCCTTCGACGGACGCCCCGGCTACGACCAGCCCCCTCCGGACCTCGAGGACGGAGTCCCGGAGTGGGAAGTAGAGGAAATCCTGGACGCAAGGGTGAGGTATAAACGGCTGAACTACTTCGTCAGATGGAAAGGCTACGACGCATCGCACGACCAATGGGTCCGCTTCGACCGCGTCTTCGCCCCGGAGAAAATTGCGGAGTTCTATCGTAAGTACCCTGGCAAGCCACGACACATCGCCTCCGCGACCTTCGACTCGATTCCGTTCCGGTCTATGCGTCGGGACGCCGCATTCAAAGGGGGGGGTGATGTCAGGGGAACCTCCCTTTCGGCCCCTCGGAGACGTCTCCGATTCCGGTCCGACTCCGGTTCCGTCTCCGGTCCGGCCCTCCATCTCGCCCGCACAATCACCGATCTGTCAACGCCCTCCCGACGGTCGCCCTGGGACCTCGCCTGCGACGCCGCCCAAGCCTTCTGTGCCCGACAGCGGCAGCTACGGACAAGCAGTATATAGTCAGCTACCTAGCAGGCGGACCCTTAGAGTTTCTTCTCTTTGGATCCTCCCCTGCTAGGTCAGCTTCATTTGTATTCGCTTACCAATGTTCACGCTTTGGATCCTCCCCTGCTAGGACCTTGATCTCAGGCCTCCGGGGTTGCCCTTACAATGCCGACTTCCTGATCAGGACTGCTCGCATGGATATGTCACCAACGCAGGTCTTCGCCGGTGTCGAGGCGAACAATATCATGTATCTTCTGGAAGATCATATGGTGGGCGGCAGCTGTTTGGCGATTGACATAGATTCGACAGTAAACAACACCTAGAACAGTCAGCCCTTTGAGGAAATATAGTGTACCATATAACATACTTGTTCGGGAATCGGCATCAAGACCACCCAGCTCAAACTCTTTGAAGCCAGCAATACGGCGGAAGCTAATGTCGCTTTGAATGAATTTGGCATTGAGCAGAAGGCGGCTGCTCTCAGGCGCCATGCAAATAGCAATGCGGAAAGTGGATGCTCTACTCTCTTCATCATCGTCGGCCGGCATCGTCATCGTCATCTGGGCTGAGACTGAGACCTGGAAGCTCCTCGACATATCGGATATATGCCTCTTGAGACAAATCAAATTCGTCTTGTTGCTCCTTGAGATGGACGAGCCCTATCCAACGTTAGTATGAAAACAGAGGATCAAAGTCAATCTTCACCTGCCCACCCAGTTCCAGATGGAAACATTTCCCGTTGCACTTGGGAGATATATGCGCTAACATGGTCGCGGTTACCGAGCGATGGATGAAGATCAAGGAGGGATGGCGCATCATCATGCGGAAAGATCTCCCGCAGAAAATTGGTGGTCGCAGGGTGACGGAGGAAGCGGCGAGGAGTCAAGTCGGCGATGTCGTTGTCTAGCCTTCTGAGCAATGAAAAGATCATCTCCCGGATATGCGGTGGTGTCTTGGTAACGAGAGGAATTGTATGTCGATGAGCTCCATGACAGACAAGCAAGGCCCATGGACATTCATCGATAAATTCCGGGCATGGTTCGTAAAGGAGAAACTTGCATGCACAATCCACCTGCCGGAGGAAAGTGACACCAAGCTGCCCATCTGCATGCCGGTGCTCATTCACTATGCAGTAGCTCAGTCATCTGGGATTTATTAGACGGATAGAGAACGTACAACACTCAATCTTCATCGTCGAGAAATTGGCGACAGTTGTGCATGTACTCGAGGGGCCAGTGTTGGCTAAGACATACTCGTCGTCCTCAAACTCTGCGCAAGCTTCGAGGTCATTTGCAAACAACGCCTCAAGGTAACTGGTATCATACAAACCGCCTCCCGCAGTGTAATCGATGAGATGATCTCGGTTTCCATTCCGATGGCGATGCTCACACCTAGAAGACATCGTATCTTGGCTCGACTGGGTAATGAGGGACTCACATGATGAATGCACGGTTGTTCGAGTCGCGACGGAACAACAGCCGTCCATCGCAAGTTGGAGAAGTAAGACGACCTCGATGTAGTTGTTGTTCTTGAGCCGCTCGACGCTCTTCTTGCTGGTGTTCGGCAACATCAAACAGTGTTGTTTCTTGGAGTGGCGCTCCGCAGCCTTGGCGTTTGAGCGCAGTAAAGTATGCCCGTGTCTTTTGTAAGAGAGCACCTCGTGTTGAGGCGGCGCTATCTCGTTGTTGCCGTTCTAGCTGCAGACGCCTCGCAATTTCTTCCCGGGAAGCAGTAGTATGCGCTACGCGGAGAGCTGCCTCATCGGCGTAAGGACAGGCCTTGATACCTTGACCTAGTCATAGTTAATAAACAGTCAATCTCGAGATGAAAACTTACAAGTCTTGAATGAGAGTTTCGTTGGGATTTTGTTGCCAGCTGAGTCGACAAATATATGGCAATGAGTGGGCTTAGACTTTGTGGTACCTCCCTTAGGTTCGCCGAGTGAGTAGGCGACGTTGCGAGTCGGTTTGTAGGCCGCGATCGGAAAGAGATGTCCTATCGCCCCAGTGGCGCTGGTTTCCGGGAATTCGAGCACAGTCCCAGCTGCATACGTGTAGAGTTTCTCCAAGACAGTTTTCGGAGTGATTGGGATGTGGTATTCGACGTGGATTGGCTGGTGTGTGGGCGGTGGAAGGAGAGGTGGTGGTGGTGCTCGTGTTTCCATTCGTGTCGACCTCGGATTCCAGTGCTGATGGTGGGAGATAGTGCTAAGGGCTGCGAGACGTCCAATGCCTGCAGCTAGAGTAGTATCGTACCACAAAATGTGGTACGATAGCAGTCGAGCAGCGGACAATGACGAGCTGGCTTGTGCCCCAGCTTATGGCCCAGACAGCGAGTACCAGCCTCTGAGAAAGGCGAGGGTCCCATGTTGACAAGGTTTGAGGCGGAAGGTAGCAGGCCAGCGCCAGGCGAGAGGAGGCGCGATCTTCACGAGCGAGGCGACGCCAAGCACGGTGGCGACGCGTCAGCGTGACATTGGAAGCTACTGACAAACAAAGCCAAACTAGCAAGCCGGCTTCAATCATCAACACGGCTTCGGCGAGTCTTCCTTCCGCCTCGACAGATCTCAGATCTCTGCCATCATGATTTTAGAGCCTCTACGGCTACAGAATAGAATACGGAATAGAATAAATCCCGCGTGATGATGTAGTGACAAACGCGTGACCGCCGCGATCACGTCGCGAATTTACACTCTTTTTTTCGTTCTCTGTACCACATTAGCCATGCCAAAGGGCCCGGAGAGCTGTAATTGGACGGCAGACCCTAATGACCGACGAAGGCTTGTCCAATTCTTCTACGACAACCGTGGACGGCTTGGAGACGGTGGGAATCCGGACAAGAGTCTTCTTCAAGACTGCGCTGCTCATTTGGCAATGTTTGGTCCACCAATGGAAGGGTCTCCAAAGACACCAGACTCATGTGGTGGTAACTGGCAGGGGGTGAGTGGCTCTCATTTGTGTATTGCTTGACACTTATTCATTCCTTGGTACAGTGTCGCAAAATCTTCGATGCTATCCTTCAGGTATGCCAAGGCACATACCCAGGTGCTTCTGGCTGGACCTACTCGCAAGAGAAGGGGTTCAATGTCACTCCTGATAGTCGGGCAGCTTGGCGCAATTTTGTGAAGACTCATTCGATCTTCAAGCCGTTTGCAACTGAAGGCTGGGAGCACTATCCACTCATGAACAAGATTATGCCCTCTCGCACCCGTGGAAAGTACGTCTTCAACGCCGGGCGTCCACGCGTTCGAGGTCGAGGCCCAAATGGTGTCTCAGCGGCCGCTGCTGCCCCTCTTCATATGGAGCCTTCCTCCAATGATAGTATCGACAACATCGCAGCCAGCTCTCTTCTGGCTTTGTCGCAAACCACAAACAACTCCCAGTCAACCTCCGATGACTCTCAGCCCTTTGATTGGTCAAAATACGATCTTTCTCAGCCGATTCCCGATTCCCAGCTCAACGACTTAGAATTGGACCTTTCACAACCTCTTACCGACTGGTCCCAGTCCAATTACGGCTCCTCCCAAGTTGATCCTCCACTGTTTCAACTCCTGAATAATGATGATGGGCTTTCGAAGGACCGCAGTGATGATGATTCAGGGGAAGACGAGCCATTGGTGCTGCCACCGGTACGGACCTCATCTGTGATTCCGCAGACACCTGCCCCTGCTGTCCGCACTGCTCAAGCTGTTCTTCCCAAGTTAAAGCGCTCAGCTTCAGAGGAAGTCAGTGTTCCTTGGAGCTCGACAAAGCGCCACCGAACGACTGGACCTGAAGCAATTCATGGTCTCTCCAACTCTGTCAACGGTATTAGCGAGGCTCTCTTGCAGTGCTTTGGGACGAAGTCGTCAGCAATCTCACCGAATAAACTCAAGTCAATGGCCCGTAGCCAGGCGGAGAAGGATGTGGAGAATGCATACATTGATGAGAGGACTCGCATGCGTCTCAATCTTCTCTTCACACGGGACTACACGGCAGCAGAGGCGTATATGGCGGAGAAGACTGGACCACAGCGTAGTGCAATAGCAGCTTTCCTTCTTGATTAATTTCTTTTTTCTTGACTCGTTTTATCGTTTACTGTTATATTTCACTGTTTAATCCCTAATCATCTATTCTACCTTAGTCTACTGGTTCTATCGGCATGTCTACGTCCATGTAGTCCTGCAAAATACGTTGATAGTCTTCCCACATTGCTCTTGCCATTGTATCCCGTGTTCTTTCAGCTTGCCGTTTTTCGCGAGCAGTTGTTCTTCCCGTAGCAGCCAAACGGCCAAAATCGATTTCTCGATTCCGTACCCTGCCACGGTTGGCATCTTCTGCTTGCTCATCAATAATCCAGCGGTCAAGGTCAGCCATATCATGGTCCATGATGAAGTTGTGAAGTGCAACAAGTGCAGAAGGGATTCGTGCCTGATATTCCATCTTGTAGTGGGGTGGACGTACAAGGATTGTCCAGCGGTGCTTGACCACTCCAAATATCCGCTCGACGACATTCCGTGCAGATGCATGTCGTAGATTGTAGAGTTCCTTGGCGTTTTTAGGGCTGGACGATTGGTTAGAAGACATGAGAGATGTGAAAGGTACCATACCGAGAAGAAGCCCGACTCCATTCAGCCAAATGATACCGTACCTGGCGATACGGAACCAAGAGAGCATCACAAATACCAAATCCAGCATCCGCCAAATATTTTTTGCCTTCCGGAATTGGAAAGTCTTCCAGTCGTGCTCTGCTGTACATTGTCGCATCTGCAGCACATCCGTCCCATCCTCCAGTGAAAAACAGAAAGCGCATATCGAACGACACTGCAGCAAGGCAGTTCTGGGAAACACCACCTTTACGATCTCGAGCAGAGTGCAGCTCTTCTTTCGATGGCGTACAAGCAATATGAGTTCCATCGATTGCACCAAGAACATCCTTGAAATATGGCCACCACTTTGGATTTTCTCGGATAGCGGGAGGTGGTGGTGCATTGGTAGCAGGTAGTTGCACGTATGAGTCGTAGAACTCCGGGCCAGACAAAATGTCGAGCATCTTGCGAAAGTGTCTAGAAAATGCTTCAGTTGGCTAGCGCTATAACAAAGGTATTCCTACTCAGATATGGTAGAATGGGAGTGCTGGAAGCGCTCAGCAATATGGTGTATTCCCATTCCAGTGACACAGGTGTACAGGAATATTGCAAGGGACTCATCGAGCATGATGTGAGATCGCTCTGATTCCATGTAGCCCATCGCCCGCAATTTGACAACCAAGGCGAGAAAAACATGTCTGCGCATCCCCAGAGCAATGTAAATGCGGTCTGGATGTGCATCGGCATCAAGCAGTTCATCTACCCATGCACGACCTGTCATTGCTGAAGTGTGCATGTCCGTTTTGTTGTATTGTGGATAAATATAAAGAGCCACGCCAAGGATTACATATTGTATCACAGCAGTGACCAACAGTACAGCCCAGCGGGTCTTTTCTGCCTCTGTGCGGGGTGTTTGGGGCATCGCGGCGCCTTAGATTGAGCAGAGAAGGCGACGTGATCGCGGCGGTCACGCGTTTGTCACTACATCATCACGCGGGATTTATTCTATTCCGTATTCTATTCTGTAGCCGTAGAGGCTCTTACCCATCGACTATGGACTCAGAAAATGGGGCCGACCCGGCCGAGTCATCCGTTTCATCTTGACAGCTGTCAAGAGTCACGGCATTTCACAACTCTTCCCGATACCACCACATGCCTGAAAGTCCATCGCCCATCTCCTGGCTCCCGCCGGAGCTCCTCAGCAAGATCTTCTACAGCTGTCTCCCGCGCAACCGACGTGTCCGCCCGCACCCACACCGCGCACCGCTGCAAATGGCACAGGTCTCGCAGCAGTGGCGACAGGTGGCGGTGTCCACACCTGCACTCTGGCGCTCTATCTACCTCGTCTTCCCCTGGGACCACCCCTACGATGGCGTGCCGACGCTATTTGGTGCCCCGGAAGCGGAATACTTGGCTGGCGACGTCACTTCTCTGTTGGAGGTCTGGATTGCGCGTGCGGGTGCGCTGACATTGTCGTTAGGCATTCATGCCTTTTACCCGCTACCACGGGAGCTCATCTCCCTCATTGTTCGGTACCACTCTCGCTGGGAATCACTCCAGTTAATGATCAACACTGCCGACACCCTGGAAATCTGTGGTCTCAGAGAGACGTTCCCTGCTCTCACGAGTTTCTTTTGTGTAACGAAAGCATCGCAAGAGATCGAAGCCTCTACGCCCGCGTTTCTGCATGGTGCCCCTAACCTCACTGTACTCCATGTACCATATTGGCGCTGGCTCGACGCTCACGTTCAGCTGACGTCGATTACGGCGCTTAGTCTGTTCTACGCGCCATGGGAGGGCGACCTGTATCATTCGCTGATGGATGTTCTCAGCAGTCTGCCTGCCCTTCGCCATCTCGAGACCAGCTACCTCTTCCCCGAGCATCCGGCCACGGTAGGCAGTGCGGCGGAAGTCCAATGGCACACGCCACCCTTGGAGTCCCTGCTGCTTTCTGGTTATACATCAACAGTCCTGCAACATCTCACGCTCCCAACACTCCGCCATCTGCAAGTGCTCATCACTGCACAGGCAAAATCCCAGCTGAAAGCCGTTCAGAACTTTGTCGCGCGGTCTCGATGCGTCCTATCGCACCTCAGCATTGCCGTGACGAGCGACCTCGCCGCGGCGCCAGGATACGTTGAGGCAGAAATCGAATGTCTCGCCTGCGTCCCGAGCCTCGTCACCTTGGAGTTTAACAGCATGTACAGCGGTATGAGCATTACCATGCCGCGCCATGCCAACGACGCTCGGTTCGCCGTGCTCTGTCAAGCCGAATCGGACCCGGCATTTCTGCCACAGCTACGCTACCTCCTCGTTGGCGACGAGGCCGGGGAAGCGGTGACTTATGAGACATTTGTCAACGTGCTCGATGCGCGGCCGGCCATCCGCTTCGCTTCGCTTGCGCTCGACCCTATCGGCGATGTGCGGGATTTGATCCGCCCGCCCCCGCAGGCGATACTGGATCGACTGCAAGCCCATCGCGCGCGGGGCGTGGATGTCCAGATGAGCACGCCCCAGCTGCAGTGGCCGCTCTCCACGGAGGACGACGATGCTCCGCCTGAACTGTGTGCGTCTCCTGTTGCTTTTGAACAATGTAAGAGGACTGATTTCATCGTTTGTTTGCGCAGACTATACAGAGTGGCCAGATCCGTGGCGGAATCGCACTAAACCGGCGCCTTTCTTTCCCTTGAGCTGTGGTTAATGTGGGACAATATATGTCTGCATAGCACTTCGAGGACACAAGAAGGCTGTACATCGGCCCCGCTGGACAAGTATGAGTACTGAGTGACATAATGATCAACTATTTACGAGTATCCCTCGATCAATCGCTTGTCATGTCATTTCGCTTCTTGTCCGCAACCGTCATGTCGAAACGACGAGAGCCTCGTCCCGCCCTCGACCTCCTCCCCGCCGAGCTCTGGATGCTGGTCTTCGACTATATTCTTCCCCCAGCGGACGTGTTGCAGCCAGCCATTGCATGCCATGCGTTCAACGAGATATGCGTCCGCGTTTTCCTCAAACGCCGACAACGCCACCCACGGGGCTTCTTCGAGAAGGTGATGGACATCCAGTCTGGAATCGTGCTGGCTATGGCACGATATGCGCCATCACAGACGTTCCCCGTCCGAAAGCTACACTGCCGCTTTGGGTACACGGACATTCCACGACAGCTGGGGGCGCTGCATGCGGCGCTTTCGCGCGCGCCGTCTCTGGAAGAGCTCACTGTCACCTTTGACCATGATATCCTCGGCGTAGGACAGCGCACCTCGTGGCGCATGCCGATGGTCGCTCGCGCACTATACACATTACTTGCTGCCCTCGGCCGTCGGGTCAACGGCCCGGTGTTTGTCGTCGGCCCCGGCGCGGTCCACACTTGCATGCCCAACGATATCCTCCGCTGGCAGCTTCATCTCTTCCGATATGCCCCTATCTGGCCATGGAAGCGAGCTACAAACCTCGTCGTCGACCATGGCGCGCCACCATCCACAGTCAAAACACGGATGCATACCGGCCTCATTCGCAGCGTCCCCCCGCTGGCAAATCTCAGCTCTCTGTCACTTCGGCTGCTACCGGATTCCCACCTTAGCGTGCTTATCCTGCAGCCCGAAAGCGTGCAGCTCCTTCCGCTCCACCGCATCGGGTTCTCTGCCCGTCAGTGGGACGTTGTGTTGGAGCATCTCTCGTTGCCCAATCTCCAGGTTCTCCGCGTCAGCACAGGCGACGTGCCCCTTGCTCCTCTCAACAAGTTCATTAAGCGGCACACAAAGATCAAGCACTTCAACGCGATGGGGATGACAAACCTCACCGGACGCTCGTGGCCTTGGCCTCGCAAATAATCATCAGTCGCCTGTTTCAACATTGTGTGCGAGGACGATCTGTCTGATCAGCAGGCCAGTGTTACCATAAATGACGTTCATTTCGAGTCATTAATTACTAGTACAGCTTGAGATGTGATCAAACGAACGACCAAGTCTGAAATGGCAGATAAAAGTCCTCCCCGTTGCGAACGGCCTCGAACTTGACCTGTTTACAGCGCCGTCAGCATCGTCCTTCGAAGAGGAAAATGACGAGGCACATAATCTAGCGGGGTATGGGCTACGCCGTGTGCTTCCAGAACGCCCTTGGCCGCGTCGTCTGCGAGTGAAATCTAGCCATGAACGCCACCCGTGAGCTAGGCAGGAGACGGAACAAAAGGGTCACGCACGCGGAAGGTCCCATCCACGTTGTCACTGAACGAGAACACCGCCGGCGCGGACTGGTTGCTCAGGACAAGCCAGTCAAGTGAGCGATCCTAAAGCGGCAGGAGTAAAAGTTGTTGGGAGACGGTTGCCTGCCAATGTACCTCGCTGGATATGACCCAGGCAAGGCCTGTCTCCTCATGACAAATCGTATATGCATTGCTCCTTCCAGCGACAGAACGAACATCCCACTGAATAGCTTATTGTTAGCATGAGCATGCAGATGAGAGCGCAGCATACCACGATGGCGTTGCTCGCCGGGTCTTGGTGCCGCCTGATCCACAGACTGCGCGGGTCCTCTCCAGCATCCGAATCAAGGAATGTCGCGCTGCCGTCTGCGCCAAAGTTGTACAGCTTCGTGGGGGTGGTTGGCTAGCAATTGTAAGCGGCAGAGGAGCAAATGTCAAGCAGAGCGCGCACCACGGACAGCGCTGTCGTCTGGCATGGGTAAGACAAGTAGAAACAGTGAGGGAGGCGAGACACGCACTATGCTGGCGGCGAGCAGGGAAAGTAAGACTGAGGTATAGAGCTTGAATGGCATCGAGACGACAACCAAGACTCAGTGTGGTGCCGCTTTAAGCCTTGCAGACTTGATGTGTACCACGTCATAAGTAAGTTCGACGGGCATTCGACCCCGCGCGAGCTAAGTCAATGCAAGGCTGAGGAGCGCCGAGAGACACCAGGCGTCAACACCAGCGGTCTGGCCAAGGAGCTTGAGCGGGTGGAGAATCGCGGAGATGGTGGGGAGAGCCAAGTAACACGATAAGCATCATCGGCCGAGTCACCTCGTGACTCGTACTCTTGGCACCGGCCCGAGGCAGGCGACCGGCGATGGCGGGATGAGCCGTCACTGATGGCGTCACGCAATTACTCCCCTTGACGACGAACTACCACCACTCTCCAGAGGGCATGTTTTTCTTTCCTGGGCCGCGGCAGCCGCTGCGCGTTTATCAGGACCATCGCCCCTGCTGACCCCGCCAAGGAGCCGCCGGGAGCTCGATGCCTATCACTTCATTGTGTTTTCGTTGCCGTGGCGTCGAGGCCACACTGGCACCAGAGCAGCTGCGGGTTCGTCAAACTGGAGGAGGAAGCTTCCACCACTCAAGCCTCTCCCGGGGCTTCGAGTAATGTCTTTGTTGGACGTATTGCCTCGCATGGGTTCGAGGCGAGTTCGAGGCGTGGACCGGCAGTCTACATACGTCAGGGGTGGCACGGCTCTGGCGACCAGAAGATGCTTATCGAGTCTTCGTGGAGGCACAGTGAGTTCGACACACTGACGGGCTAAATTGCAGAAAATCCCGATGCCTATCGGGTTCGCGTGGGTGGGCCTGTTTCCTCGAACGGCTAGACTCCCCTGCCAGTAGCTGCGTATAAAACCCTCCGCCAGGTCGCAGGCACCTCAAGCGACTGCTCCCCAGCCACTACACACACAACCATCCCGCCATGCGCTTCACCATTGCATTCACTCTCGCCCTCGGCACTGCCGCCAGCGTCGCGGCGCAGAGCTGCACCACCCCCAAGGGCAGCGGCACCTGCAAGAACACGAGCAGCTGCAAGGCGCCGGCGTACTCGCACATCCCAGGTCGGTTGTTTCCCGTTATTCTCACCTTGAAGCTCACACCAATACAGGCTACTGCCCCGGCCCGGCGGACTTCCAGTGCTGCGTGTGGAACCACTGCGCGGTGTGCAAGCGCGGCCCGGACGGGGAGCTCGAGGCGCGTTACGAGGTCGACGTTGAAAAGCGAATTCCTTGCTGCTAGGTAGTCGATAATGTTGACCACAGTCCGATAATACACGCCTCTGTTTTCTGCACATGCATGGCCATTGGCGCTCTGGAATGTTCTTCCTGGAGCGAGGCTCGCATTTGGGGACTCGTCAGTAATTGAGTCTGTCCTGTTGTTGAATTGAGTGGGGAGACTTCTAGATCTTCTTGTTCTCTTCCGAGTGTCTCGAGTCGCATTGCCAGCTCGTTAGGCCGAAGGGCTTGCGGATGAAGCATGGGTGAAGCGGGTTTCCGAGTCGTCTTCTGTACAGACATGGCCGGAGTCTTGGAGCGGATTGGATAACGGGAAGAGGGAAAGACGGCGCCAAGACCGTACGTAAGGCGTCATCACGCGTGGTCAACCAATTGGCGTCATTCGGCTGGGTACGCGATCACCGCTCCCACGCTCTCTTTTCACCCTCCCACGACGACAAGCAAGGCAGCGTCGGCCCTGCCTTCTCTTCCTCTCGGCTTCTCATCCCCGCACGGAAGGAATCCTGCCGCTGACGATGGCCGCGCAGCTCTCCCATGTTCCACGATGCGAACTTGAAGCCCAATGCCCATCCACACCCACCCGATCTGCAGCGGATGTCTCCTCCTCCAGCGCCATGGTGGCGGGAAGCTGTACAGGTGCGTGGTATACTCCGAGTCGAGGGCGTTCTCCTGCGTGCGCCATCCGTCCCCCGCTTTCATGTTATACTAACATTTGCCCCAGAGCAAAGTGAATTTCCAAAAACAATCCCATCGCAATGTCGGGATTTTGATGGTTCATCTCCGTTTCATAGTTATTCAGCGACTAAGAGCCCGTTTGACAATGCGCTAACGACGGAGCGTCCACACATAGCAACTCACGACAGCCGAATCAGCCGTTGACTCATGATCTTCTCCCTACTTATCGACCAACCACCAGCAGCCATGCCTGTATTCACACTTTCCCAGCAAATCGCCCCTCTGCCGCGGCAGCTTCCCTCGGCCATGAAGCACGCGGATCCGCCATCGTGACAGCGTAGCTGCTATCGGCGTCTCTTGACTTCAGAGGCCATCTGCGCACTTCATACCCCCACGCCCAACTCACCGACACTCCTTCATCCCATCGCCATGAGCATCGCGGGCCTCTCCCACTGTCCCCCGCGCGACAACAACGGCAACTTCCTGAGCGAGGGCCTCGCGACGACGTTTGGCGGCACGACGACGTCAAAGTGCTCCTATGATACGCCGCAGGGCACGGAGGAGTGCACGTATTCCGTGCGTACTGCATCCGCTGGTGGCCGCGCTGACTTCCCTGCAGAACGACGCGTATACTTCGGGCCCGAGCAGCTGCCCCGGGGCCAGCACCACAACAAAGGCAGCGTCAGTCCACTCCGCTCCTCCGTGGTAGGGGCTAACCATTTCAATTCTTTTCAGCGCCGGCGCGCAGCAACCACAGCCAACTCAGCCAAATACCCACACGAGTACAACTGTGAAGCCTGAGACGCCGCCTCCGACCACAACTCCTACCGATACCGCGCCGGCCCCGCCACCCCCGAGTCCGGCCTCCACGCACGTGCCACATCCGTCGCCACAGCCCTCCGCATCTTCCTCGCACGCATCGTCGTCCATCTCCCCCGCGTCGACGGCATCACGTTCTCTATTTTCACCCTCCCCGCCCTCTGCTGCCGCCGCGGACAGCCGTGTTCCGGCTGAAACCTCAACGGCCCCACCGCCATCTGCCGATCTATCACGGGGTGCGATCGGCGGGATCATCGCCGGGGCGCTGCTTTTCCTCCTCCTTGCGCTCCTACTCGCCTGCTGCCTGCTTCGCCGCCGACATCGCCGGCGTGTGCACACCCGAGCTGAGACGCCCACGCCCTTCAGTAGTGTCTCCTCTCTCAGAGGGCGGTATCAGCATCATGATCACGATGCTCCACCCGGCGTATCGCTGATCGAGCACGAGCTGCAGCTGCGGGCGGTGCGCAAGGCGCTTGAGACGGCACATGGGCGGGAGAGCGGGCATATCGCGGAGAACGACCTCCTGCGCGACCGCGTCAGGGAGCTCGAGGACGCGCTGCTGTATCGCACTGGCACGCGTGATGGGCGGCGCACCGAGCTTCGCGACGTTGATGTGCAGCCGCCGATGTACACGCCAGCTGCAGCTTGATCACGCCTAAAATCTATTCCCCGTTGTTAAATTTGTATACGAAGCAGTAAATCATAACACTGTTCCAAAATTGCTGCAAAGATGTTATAATTACGTGTTACCTGGGTACCAAGCTCGAGTTGTTATTTCCAGTAAAATTTTTAGACAAATAAAGTAAGCAGAGAGGAAATTTATTTGGGTCCCTCTATACAGGAAGCAGTCACCATTTTAATGGACTGTAGTGCTGGCCAAATATGATCATATTATCCTGAGGACATATATATTGTAATAATATGATCTTCAGAGCCCTCCCACAAATTACTAGTATAATGATTTATTTGTAGGATTGTATAAATTATAATCATATTCAAATGCAATCATGTTATGAACATATTCAATGATAATCTAGTATGCATATCTGTCAGACTGCGGGTCGGGCCGTGCAAGGACTTCTCCTAAGAACGCGCGCCCGGAACAGAACAGACGGATAGTCGGGCCCGCAAGTACGGCGGGCGGGGTAGATCGAAACCGAAAGGGCCCGTGAACTCGGTCCCTTGCCGTAGTCGGTGGTCGAAGGTTCAAATCGGGTCGTGTCGGGCCCGATGAGTCGATAGCGTCTCCTCGCACAGAGTAAGGTAGTTCTTCAGACGATCTAAGCGATAGAGTACAGGGTACACTATCACGCCTTATATACGCGGGCCCGCAAAGGGGGTGATCGGACACCCTGGCCCCTCCTCCTCCTCCTCGCTCCCGTTCCTGGCCGCAGAGGGGACGATCGTACATCCCTTGCGGGCCAGGCGCTACTCCTGACCTCCTAGCACTCCTCCCCAGTCCCCTTATGTCGAGTTGGGCTCGGCGACGGCTCGACGCGTCGTTCTCGGTCACGTGCTTCCCACGTGTGCGTTCCTCCTACTGGGGCGCATGTTCCCCGTCATCACGTGCTGCGTGTTACGGGCCCGGAATGGCCCGACACCAGCGCCGGAGCGGACGGGCCGGGTCTTATCCGTGACAATATCCCGGCATAAGAAGATTTTATATATTGTTTTTCATCTCTTTAAAAGAGTATGCTCCTGCCTATGAAATATTGAATCTCCTGGTAACAAAGTTGTGCCTATCATTCTGACAGAGACTGAGAGTGGGACAGTGAGTCTGACTCTGACTCTAACTATGGTGGGCCTGATATAGGGCCTGAGGATGGAGAGGATATTGGAGATGCCCAGGCTGCCAGATGACTATAATATTTTAAATTAAAATATGCAACCACTGTAGAGATGTCACACATTTTTCAGTAGACTTGCAAGCCCTTTTGTGTCTGGATTGCCTACTAGTCGGCCCTCTTGCCTGGTCTAGGTAGATCTGCATCTACATATGCAGGTGCCAAGCTCTAAGGGTAGACTGAGGATAGGGTAAACCACAGTGCAGAGAGCATTAATGATCAATTTGCAAGAGTTATACCATCTATCAGGAGGTTTCAGAAAAGTAGGAGTTCCTCATTGATCATTAATGTCTCACTCATGATGAAAGATAAGAGGAGTTGAAACAGCCGAAAGAATATAAGACCTTGCTTTCACACTGATGGTAATGCCAATGGGGTCCAACAGCAGCTTGAAAGAATTTTTTCGCCTTTATTGGAAAGAAAGAAACCTTTGTTTGCACCAAGGCTGCCCTTATACCAGCCCTAAGTATTAGCGCCATTGGGTTTGTACTTGATGTCGTGTCACACAAACAAGCCAAAAACTGCATGCCCCCCACCAGGATCGAACTGGTGACCTTCGGATTAAAGAATGCCATGATTCCTCAAACAGTATGAGACCGACGTCTTGACCAACTAGACCAGGGAGGTTCGATCACAACAGCGATCGTGGCCCTCATGGAAGGGTCACATTCTTCAAGTCTTCGTGAGCCTTTGCTTCTCAGACCCTGTGTATCACTCGGCTCAGTCCTCTTCCGGCCACCCTACACAGTCTTGCTTGCACTATTACTGATTTGTCAATCCCCTCACTGCATGGGTCTTCTGCTCAGAGCAAAAAACAGTTCATATCTGATAGTTGCTCAGATAATTCTCCAATAATTCTGAGACTTAGAGTATTTTTTTGTGTATACAACAGGTGTGGTGATGAATCAACATAATCTGATGTCATTGATGCTGTTTCCATATATGGTAACTTTTCCCAACGGATACAAGTCAATATCTAAGATCAGATATGAATAATTTTAAACAATTTTGATGTGGTAAGACTTGGAAAACAAGATGTGACACTGGTATATGACATCAAAGGGTTTGTTATACTCATTGATGTGATACTATACATATTGATGATCAAACATTGGTCCCAGCTCCAGACATGCTGTTACACAATATTATATAAGGTCACAGGTGTGACATATCTCCCAAAGAGGAAATTTCCACCCGTTTGACTGTACAATTATCAGAGAATGTCACACATTGTCACAAAATCAAAGTTGTGTATTTTGAATATACAAACCACTTTCATTAAGTGACTTACAGTGACAGCTCAATAAATGTGTTAGCACTGACCCATCACTAGCTTATATATAACTGATGAGCCTCTATCTCCATAGCTGCTTGAGCTACCAGCATGAATGATGTACTAGAAGGAAGGGTCTCAAAAGTCCTATTGATTGATAACATATTTTGATTATTATCATCTAATATAATCATCATATTGACCATTTAGTCATTAAAAAGAGAATATCTAGTACTTAAAAATGTAAGGTGCCTAAGTTGTGACTTTGGCTGTTCTAACATGAGGCTCTGGTATGTATCCTCTTATCTCCTAGTGAATAGGGCACTCAGGATGCAATGCATTCACTCATCAGTGGCCTCTGATCTCCATCACCTTTGAGAGATGAGCACAGATCTCCACCTATCCTTAGTGGATAAAGTTGGAAGGGAGTTCATTTGAAAGGTATACCATCCTACTATCCCTGAGACCTATTAGTGATTTTTTTTTTTGTCGCCATTGCCTTGATCTATTCACTGTCAAGCATGCCTGAATACTAAATTCAGCAGTATTTTGCTGATATCCTGGGACTACATGCATGGAATCTCATGATCTAAGTTGATATGATATCATGGCATAGTCTAGCACACCTCCGCCCATTTCCTACTATAGAGCTAGTCAATTTCTAAAGACCTTGGGTGCTATATAACCCAGGATAGAGATATGCTAGAGGAGTAAGGGAATCAGTTTCTAGGAGGTGAACAATGCCCTTACCAATGCATATACCCAGATTTCCCAGACTTGCACAGGTCATGCTATGGTGAACTCATCATTATTGGGATAGATAACACTGATAATGGTACTGTGAGAGATCCAGGATAGCTATGAGGTTGATTCAAGTGCTAGACAGGCTCATTTGAAGGTCTATACCATTCTATATTCAAGTCTTGGATCATACTTGAAATTATTTTCTGACCAGTTGTAATCATCAGGAAATTCACCAATTCTTTTGGAGGCCTTGTCAGGCCTTCTGAAAGGTCTTTTCGCATTTCACATTTTAGCCAACACTTCTGCGGGCCTTTCGGGCCTTCTCAGCCTTTCAAAATGCTTCTTGATCGCAAATTGCCGACTTGGTGAGTTCATCGGGAAGAATGGCGTCATCATCAGACTTCTTCGGTGAAGTCAGGCGTTTTCTTCCCACCCTTTTTCTTCCTCCCCCACCATCTCCCCGCCTTTCCTCTCATTGTCTGGCCCTCTGCAAGTCATATGTGCCTGATGCAAGAACCTCAAATCCTCTTTTCAAGTCCTCTCGAGCGCGCAAGTCCTTCCTCAAGCCGTTCCTGTACACGCCAGTGTGTCGCATGAGCAGCAGCAGCAGCAAGAGCTGGTCTCAGCCCACCGCTTCCAACCTTCCCCACCAAGTCATCCCCCTCCCCATTCCCGTTATTCACCAACTTCTCCGGCTATTGTGGCTCTCAAACGCGCAAACACGATGGGCAACTGCTTACGCGTGCCAGCCTGTGAATGTGCACGGGAACAGGTCTAGTCAACGACGGCAGAGTCTGCTCCCTCGCGTGGCCTCGGTCGCCGGCCTCACGCGCCTAATCCGGGCCAAACGACCAACTACTACTGTCTGCCACGCTTGCTCCACCACAGACCCGCCTACCGCCTGCTTCAAGCGCTCGGGACGAGCATCAACACCCCGCTATCACCTCCCGGGTTCTCGACAACACTGCGGGACGACACCGGCAACATCAATGACCGCGACCGCGACCACGACCGCGACCGCGACCGCGACCATGACCGCAAACGCAAACGCAAGCGAACGCAAACACGAGCGCAAACATGAATGCAAACACGAACGCGAACAGCGAACGCGAACAGCGAACACGAACGCGAATGCAAACGGGCACGCAGCACGACCACGACATCTGACTTCGGCGAAGGCCAGCGGCGCAGTGCTGGTCATCATATGTGGCGGACCTGAACGGTAACTGGAGGGTATTCCTTCGACTCTATAGTTAGATGTTGTTCTCTAAGTAGATGAATACAAGTTTTGTTTTCCTAAACCTGAATACTGTGATATATAAGAGTGCTTTTTAGGGCCTTTTGGCAGGCCTTTTTGATACCTTTTGGGCCAAAAGATCTTTTGAAAGGAGGGGGCCTAACTTTCAAAAGGCCTGAAAGACCTTTTGCCTTCTAGGGACTTTTTCTGACCTTTTAGTCCTTTTAGGCCTTTCAAAAGGCCTGAAAGTTCTGAAAAGGACTTTGGTGAATTTCCTGATGATAGCGAAGGCACTCTCTTTTGCTCTATGGGTACCTACCCTCTCTTCAGCTACCTTTAGTGACACATGGCAGAACCATGACTGATTATGGTTCAGGGTTGTAGTAGACATCCAAATATTCTCATACACCCACCTTAAGGTCCAACACTCAGTCTATAGACCTCACTATTCATGTAAACCAGTACTGCATGCGCATGTCTTGGAATGTTCACCCCAATTCATCCTCCAAGAATATACAGAAATCAATCCAAGTATGCTGGTAGGTGTATAC